TTGATGATCTTCATCGACATCATCCGGTGCAATGCTGGGCTCGTACCCGTCATCACCAAACTCGGCATAGTCGTCGGCATAGCACGACATTTCCTCAGCATCACCTGCATCACTTCCAACAGCTACTTCATGTTGATCACCTCTCAACTTTGCTTTCTTACGTTTCTTTATTGATTTCTTGGGAGATTCACCATCGGATCGTCCAACGGCGTCAGAAAGATCCTCAAGCTCGTCCCCACTCTCTCCATCAATAACCAAAAGACCTTCGCCTTCTGACGTTGAGCACCCATCATCAAGAGCTGCCATGATCTTTTCCACGCAGGATGATCTTAGCTTTCTCTTCTCTTGATCGACACTCACATAAGGAATGTAGTCTTTGACAGTCATTTCGATGATGTTGCCATTGGGGTCTAACATGAAAGGAGTTTTCCCAGTCGGCCATACGAACGAATAGCCAAGGTCAACGCACCGCTTGCCCATAGAGATTACGGAAGGAGTGTCTTCCAGGATGTGGGCTTCTGCTGGTTCGTTGAATGCCTCGAACTTGATACTTGATCGTTTGGTCGAACATGTTACCCCGTTTGCTGTATGGAAGTTGACGACTTTATCATCATATGTTGGGAGATCCATTCTACTTATTCGTGTTGATGAGATAAGATCATGACCACTTCCAGAATCCAATATGAATCTCTTATCTCTTTCTTCAACAGGAACAGTGATACACATCGTGTTTCCCCTTTTGCCATATCGACCCTCGACATGCTGGACATAGTTCTCCACGAAGACCTCTCTGGATACCTCACCGTCCTCGATGTCGAACCTGATCAGAATGTCCAGACTGGGGCCGACGATGACTAGGACTTCATCAATGTCACTGTATTCACCCTTCTCATCAATCAGGATAGCCATTGCCTTCCCTCGGCTCGATGCTAGTCTGCATGAATAAGACCATTGCTCATCTTGCCTTATCTGATCGGTGGGCTTGCCGACTTTACCATGACCTTTGGGGATGGTCTGGGATTTCCGGCTGCACTTCACGAAGTCCTTCTTCACGTACGTCTGAATGCAAGTCTTAGACTCGTCGAATCGTACCTTCTTCTTGACGACATTCGATGCAACCTTGTGGAATGTCCCTTCGTCATCACTCCATTCATGGACAAGTGCAGGAGTAGCCTTTGAGCTTGGTGCTTCGGTATTCGGAGCAGTGTTGAAGAGATGAGGATCGTGACGTTTGTTGCATTTGTCTCCGTATCGGCATTTGCCCTTGGCCCAGTGCCAGCATGGTTCATCAATCTTCTTGGTCTTATTCGCTGGAGATTGACTTCTCGGAGTTCCTGGCTTTCGACCATTACCTTTCGTGTTCTTGTTCGCATCAAACACCTTTTGGTCGTGACTGTATTCACAATCTTTTCCTTTCTGCATGCTTTCTTGATGAAGTGGAAATGACATGGGATCTTCTTCTTGGATCTGGGACTAGCACTTCGGCTGTTTGGTCGTCCGTTTCCTTTCCCTTGACCTTTCCCTTTTCCTTTTGCATGCTGTTTTGGTTGAGGTGATGGTAGAACTGGAGCTGCATCAGCCTTGGCCTTCGCCTTAGGTGCTGCCTTCTCCTTGGGAGTGGCTTTAGCCTTCGCCTTCGGATTGGCATCCGGTGCAGCAGCAGTTGGGTTTGGTGCAGGAGTAGTGGGTTTGCCACCACCTGCAAACTCTCTTGCGTACTTCTCTCTTGCAGCCACATGCTTGTCTTCTCTGATCCTGGATATGTGTCTCTCGATGACGTCCAACAGGTAACGATAGCTTCGTCTTTGATCACCTTCGATCCATGACTCATACTGCTTGATATCAAACATCATGAGACTCGAATTTCGAATCTTCTTGTATAAAGCGTCACGAAGCCAATCATCAGGAGGTACATCATCCGGCATCATGTTTGACACCATCTCCATCCACTTCTCGTAAAACACTTCCAGGTTGGAGTCACCGAGATACTTCATCGATACGATGTGCTCCATGGTGAAGGCTGTCTCTCGTTGACCTGGTGTCCTGAAGTGTTCCAGAATCATAGCCAAAATTTCTCGTCCCATAACATAGGTCCCTCTTCGACTATGACTCTGTGTTCTCAATCTCAGTTTAATTGCTACATGACGAGCAACATCACCGGCTTGGGCTATCACGTTCGACAATGCGATTGACAACTTGGCGTCAATTGACTGATATCGTTGCCCACCACTGTCATTCAGTAGCTCGATGTCAGGATTTGGTCGAATAGCCGGCTGTAGCCACGCTTCCCATGCAGCTTTGTCTCCATCATTCGCGGCAAGAACAACACCCTTGATGAGATCTGACTGCCAAACCCCAAGGTTCTGTTGCTTCGGCCATGGGCTAACATAAACTTTGTCAGCCTCCCGCCTTGACATTCTCGGTACTTCTTCTGCTGTGTACGCCGCTGTGGAGATATCATCTGCTGAATCGCGTTGTGATCCTCGAACCGAAGGCAAACCAGGAGGTTCCGGAGGTGGTCCTGGACCGTTGGGCCCGAAAGGATCAGGAGGCCCATCAGGGTCAGGCGGACCGCCCCATCCGCTCGGAGGCTTGTAATAGTCCTTCTCAGTTCCATCGGCGATCTTGTTGTCAACTTCTTTTAGCAGATCGGTGATTCTTTTGTTCGATTGAGAAGGTTGCTGTTGAGAAGATCCAGCATGTCCGCGATAGGATTGAGCAGCATTTGTCTCGTAGGTCAACTCCTTGTCGATCTGCGATACCCAAGATTTTAGGATAGCGTTCTCAGAGTTAGCCTCACTCACCTCATTCTCCAGTTTGTCGATGACCAGTCTTGATGCGAGATCATAGTTGGGGATACCTGCCGAATAGGGAAGCGCATCAGGGTTGACCCTGGACATAGATGTTTCAGAATCCTTGAGACTCTTTCTCAGTTCGTCTATGTGACGTTTCATGTCAATAATCTCAGAGTTCTTGATACCAATCTTTTCATCCCTATCCTGAATTTCCCCCATGAACATACATGATCTCTCATATTGCTGAACACCACTAGCCAATTTCATTTTACGCTCACTTTCTAATTCAGATCTTAAAGTTCGGACTTCAGCATTGGAGAAGGACGACGCCCCTACATCCGCAACCTCAGTCAATCTTTCTTTTAACAACATGTTCTCCTGTAAACATTCATGAACTTCATGGTCTAGATCCTGAACCCTGATTTGAGCGATTTTGGCTTGGTTCCGTAGATCTTCAACAAGCATCTCATCAGGGCCACGACCGTCGGTCGTAGTGCCCTGAGTCAATGATCTTCGCAACTTCACGTTCTGCAATTTGATCTCATCCTTCAATTCACAGTTCATCTCCTGCTCGTTGGCGTAGAGCTCTTCATAGTGCTCTGCCCTTGCGATCGCATTTGCACTAGCTTGTGATTCAAGCCTCAGGTGTGATATCGCTTCGGCCTCGTGGTTCCTGTATGATGCAATTCTTCTGACAGTATCATGTTCAGTGTTTCGGTGCTTCAGATCACTTTCCAATTTGGCCTGATTTGCCTCGAAAACCTTCTTTCTAGATTCTCTAGTGATCTCTTCAATACTGCTTTCATACAACTCGGCCGTTTTACGAGACTGAACTAGAGCTTCACTTAATAGCTGATTCCGTTCAGACAATTCATGAACTGCAATTGATTGTTGTTGGCTAATCATTTCAAGTTGATTGCTTGAGAAGGATGCCATTTCGGATCGATTACGATATTCCATGATTGAGTTCTGGAAATCCGTCTGCATTTCTTGACCTTCAGTGTACAATCGGTTGGCAATATCGGTAGTTAAGACATTGGTCTGATGAAGTTGTTGCAGTCTTGCCTCCGTATTACCCAATAGTCCTTGAAGGTGATGTACTTCATCCTTGTACTCTTCCTGGATCTCCATACCGCGTTGATGGATCCGTCTTGCACCGTGTTCCATCAGGGCACCTCGGCGTTCAAGGTCTTGGATGCGTATTGTTGCACCTTCATCTTCCTGAGATGCTACCATTAGTTCTGCTTGATACTCTGCAACCTCATTTGCGGAACATGACAATCTGTGATTGAGTGCATTGACCTCATCAAACACATTCTGGTTGTGTTCCTGAAGATATTCAGTGAATCTGATCTCGATGTCATGAATCAGTTGATCTCTTGATGCAGCATATGCTTCCATATTGTTCAACTGACTACGTAAGGATGGACATTGTGCCCGTAGTTCTTCTATCATGGCAATAGGTTCACTAGCCACAGAAGTATCCGTTGATCTCCTCTTAACACGAGTGTCCCCGGTCCTCTCACCAATTCGGTCGGTTACGGCCCTGGTGGATCTGTCCCTTGGGGTAGTTCGTCCTCGAGATGGTCGATGCCCTTGACGGACAACATCACTTCGAGCACTGTTTCGAGAAGATCTTGGTGTACTTTGGGTGGATATTCTTCGTCTGCTTGATGTAACTTGCCATCCGGACTGTGTAGTTCGGGTAGAGCGTATCCCACCACTGTCTGCCGTGTCGCCAGGGGAAGATTGAGTGACCTCCTCGACCGGCATAGCAGTGTTCTCATTGAAGGTAAACTGCGCGTTGTGCGAGTCCCCGCTGCCGCCCTGCATCTTTGCGATGATGAGCTGATTGGTCCTTTGCGTCCACAATCTTAAGCTCAAACGGCCCGGCTACCAGCACGCAGGTACTCCTCTTCCGACGGAAGAAGTGAGCCCTTACGGCTGATAACCTGTGAGCAATTTGATCCTTGTTCTCGGATATCTTTCAGTTGGAGTTCCCTGTGAGCTGATAGTCGGAGCAGTCAATCCATGCAACGGCGGAGCGCGTTCTTTTGGTCACGCAGTGGGTCTTGAGCCAATAATGGCGTCCCGAGCGTTTATCATGTGTATGTTACACATGTAGTCTCACTGTGTTCCCTTTGGCATATATAATATAGAATCTATAAACGAAGTCTTCATGAAATTATACCGGTTACATCACATCTATATTGAAGGGGTGGATTTAACCATCACCGCTCTTGGACAACGGCCTTTGCCCACCCACCACCTGTGGCCATGAAGCTGGCTCTTGACTCTGGTGACCCAAGCGCTGTAAGAATTTCACTGGCCAATCGAAGCTACCATCTGCCCGCTGGCTATCCAGTAGGTCATAGTAGGTCTCTCTGTTCATCCTGAGCTGAGTCATCTCATAGCTCAACCCTGGCTACGACTTGCATCACCCGCAACCAAACGGAGTTGCAAGAGTTGAATCCCCATGTCATCGCATCAGAAAATCAATGAACACCATTTTCCCATCTTCAAACAGCCATGAAAGATCGCAAGAGGTCGTAATATATGAGACATTATGAGACCATACAGATGTGGATACATATGACATATATGATCCATGTGGAAAATCCGCCATTTATCCAATTTGGAGTCCCCAAAATCACATGGGCCACATCGAAATTCCGAGGAGCTGGGGACAGCCCCACTTCCTGACGTCCATCTCCAGCAGCTCGGCCAGTTCCGGCTCCAGCTGCAAGGTCTGATCCAATTGACTTCGAAGGTGCGACACGTTCAGATCCTTCAGCCTAGGAGAAGCGATGGGAAAAGAGGCTCTGTTTCGGCAACTGCAACTGGGATAAATTATCGGATTCGGATAGGCAATGATAAGAGAAGTGCTGTTGTTTGTTTGGAACTCGGAAGCTGCTGCTTCTCATCGTTTCAGGAAGGTGGGCTGGCTTCATCGTGGGGTCAAACTACGCGAAACTGCCAGTTTCAACCGAGTTTAAAGAAAGAAAGAAACACGCGCCACGCCTGATGTGAGGCTGGCTTGCGCCCAACTGCAAGGTGCAATTTGGCATCACGCGGATGGATTCCAAGACATCCGCAACATCCGTGGCAGGAGCAAGGTCTACCAACCCAAAGCGCCCTGGAAAAGAGCAGCCGATGCCAACACCTGAGGACGTTGAGGGCATGGACAGCGTGAGCCAACATCGAACATTGAGGCAGGGTCGTGGCTGCAGCATGCAGCCGGGGCTGTAAAACAACTAAGACAAATTTTTGAAACCACCAGTGAGAATGTTGTGTTTTTATCCTCTTTCTTAGGTGAAAGCCACTGGTCCTGATTTCCTGCCTGTGATGTTCTTGAGCACAGCGCCCATGGGAGTGACATTATTTCGAAGTATCGCAAGGGAACAGGATGGTGTCTCCGGTGATTGATTTGCCTCGGTGGGCTGCACACATCAGGAAATACAGATGAAACTCACGGATCAAGATGGATCGTTTGTACGTTGGAATCATCGACAATCTGAAATTCTATTTTCAAAGGTGCAGGTCACCAAACAAAATGCTCAAGGAGGATTGACTCTCTTTGCATGTTTGCGGTGCTTCTTATCTGATTTTAGCACTATTTCATATCATTCCCATATCTTCAACTCCAGATTTGTAGGACGAGTGTTTCCGTTTCTCATGCAGATCTCAGAAACCATGTGGATCATGGCGATAGGCACGGAGATGTTCTTCGAGATTTTCAGCGAAATGTACATCCTCATGTCAAGTTCAACTGTGGATACATGGGCGTGTCTGAACATGGGGATGCCCTCCGGTCATCGAACATCGCAATGGGAAATTGCCTATAAATGGAAGGTTTATTCGAAAATCATCGGTACATGAGGAATTTTCCAGCTAGCAATGTTACAGTTTGATTTCCGGAGGGTACCATCGGATGCCCGTCTACCACAGCAATTCTAATGGGGAAGATACAGCAGCCAAGTGACACCTCACTTGAGCGCTTACTTGAAACGCTTGAACTTGGCAGACTTGCAACCTGCCCAACATCAAGGCCAACATCGATGCTCTGCGAGGCGCCCAGCCGTGCAAACGTTAAAGTCGAGTCCTGGAAATTTGATGCCTGCGACGCTGCCTTGGCTCATGCGGTCTCCGGAAGCGGCCCAAATATGCCCAAATATAGTTCCGACAGATTTCAAACACAATGTTGGAAGATGTTGGAAGTCCCAAGCAAAAGTGCAATTCACGATCTTTTTGGGCGGGCCATGTTGATCAAGAAATTTGGATGATGTATGTGGCTGCGAATGAGCGTGAAGAATGAACAGGGACATGCGCACAGTGCAAACCTGCCTCAACCCCAAAAAATAATAGGGTGCAAACTAGACCCCCAACAATACCCTCACAAAGGCTTGCTACAGTACAAAAATGGCTGCACCCTCTTGAACAACAGAGCATTCCGGTGGGCATGGAACTTAAAACATGCACACATTTGCAATTTTCATGCCGGGAAACCATCTGAAAAGTCATGAAAAGTCAATGGGAATTTCAGGATCCTAAAATGGAGGTACTGTACCATATAAGACCATATTTTGTGGGGATATTCCCTTAAATAGGCCTTATATAGCCCTTACATATGGTAGGTACCTCCAATTTAGGTTCCTGAAATGGCCACTGAAAAATTATGAGATCTTGGGGTTGTCCGGAGTACATTCAGACAACCCCAAATCCCATTTGAGAACCAAATGGGTTTGTCTGAAAATAGACAAAAACCAAACTCCAATGGTCTATCATCATTTTCCGACCAAAAAAATGTTATTGCGGGCTACCTCATTTTCAAACAAACCCAATGGCATCCAATGACCATGACGTCAAAAAAAGTGCCTTTGGACCTCCAAGGCTCACCATATAACATCCTGCTGATGTCCAGGACGGACTTAGTGGAGCCCAATCTGCAGAAGCTCCGAAGAGTGAGGCTGGAACCCAAACCTGGTTGGTCAGGGGCTTCAGCCTATGCAAAATCAGGATTTCACCATGAAACATGGATAAACATGGCGACTCAACATGGTTTATAATCATCAAACATTGGGACTTCAGCACTCAAACTTGGCATTTCAACTAAACAAAACATGTGGGGCGGGGATTTCATCGATCCACATTGGTTGCCAACATGTAATTTAGGCAACTTCAACTGAGATATTCAGCTATATCAGCATGAGATAAACCAATCATATCAAGTAATCAACTGGCTACTACAGGTGGTTGCAGCCAACAAGGATGGTGGTATCATGGGAACGAATCTCACAAACTTGGGAATATTATGTCACAATAATCCAGTGATTGGTGCCGCCAATTCTGGTTAAAAGCATGAGAGATGAACATGACACATATCTTAAACCACCAGCCAGAAACTGGCGAAGTCCAACACACTCAGAGTGGACCCCAGGCGGGCAAAACTCCTCATGCTCAAGCCGGAGCCGAAGGAGTGGGCGATCTGAGTTGATGGGGACAGGTTTGGAGTTGATGTAACCTCCGCTGCGTAAAGCTTGGCCTCAGTTGGTCAGATGCAGCTGGGCAAGGGGAGCATGGCGGCATGGCGTTGGTTTTTCCTGTGGCCAAATTGGCCCAACATGCCCACGGGCCATAGATTTTTGAACCTGAGTTTCCAAATTAAACTGGCCCTTTTGGATCATGTTGGGAGATACCCAAAAACAAACAATTGACACATCAAAATCCGAGCCCGGAGGCGGCGGAATCCAGCGCAATCCAGGAAGTTTTGCTGGTAGAGATCCCGTATGTGATGCCAAGAGCCACAATCTGCCAGTCTAAATCCTTAGAACATGGGCCACTTCATGCTACTTTGAAGTCTTACAAGAAGCTGAAATTCTACCTACGAGTGGGGGTCACAACCCCAACAGCAAAGAGTTCTGAGATCTGGGACATACAAACGGGTACGACCCATCCCACAAATCAAACTCAGCTGGGATGGCAAAGATCAATATCTTTTGAAACCACCAGCCAGTTTCGTCGCTAGGATCTCTATTTTAGGGTGCTTAAACCATGTTCAATCGCCATGTTTGATGGTAACATGATTGAAAGAATCAACATGAATCAACCGAACCATCCTGGAAGACTGGACCAGTTGAGGCCGAAGAACCTCCCAGCCCATGCCATGTCCATCTGCCAGTTCTGGCCATGAACCTTCCACGCTCAAGGTTTCGCTCATGTGCCAAGCCTCAACGAAACAGGGGAACCACATGTCCCATTTGGAATGGGTATATCTTAACCAACATATGGAGGTTTCCTCAAATTGGGGTACCCCAAATGATCCACAAATAGACCATTTTGTAGTATTGAAACCCATGGGTTTTGGGGATTCCCTATCTTTAAAAAAAACAACTTATTGATACATATTGTTATGCTTAGGCCTGGGGATATCTTGTGCCCAAACAGCCCAAATCTGAGCCTTTCTCATCCTTTGCATCCCAATTCTGGGGTCTTCCAGGGGCTCAGCTTCGTACTGGCATGTCTCAAATTTATAGACTCTATAGACGATTACTTCCAAAAAATTGAGCACTTTTTTTTTGGCCACCGTTCTAATAGGATTTGACTGTTCTATCTGTTGGGGGGTTTTCTATAAACTGCTACACAGGTACAATCAGGTACACACATCCTCAGCTGACCCAAACTGGTACCCCATCACCCTCTAGCGAGGTGCAGCCAGCGCGTGGAGTGTAGTCCCATTGGACCGGATCACAGGTAGTTTCCTAAAAGCCAGTGGAATCCCAGCACACCAACGGACCCGTCAGAAAATCACGTAATTTGGTTGCGACAATTTTGGCCAACTCAACCAAAAGCATGGCAGGGTGGCAGTCAAAAATGACACTTGCCTCTAAAGCTGCCCCAAGTTGCAAATCAAATTCACGACCATTCATCTTGCCAGTCATGTTGATTTCATCGGGAAGGTGACTGTCATTCATCAAGCCAAGGAAGGCATATGCTGACCTTAGCCGAACGGCTGAACATTCTCAGTTGAGCACCCACCCCTACGGTAAGCTGATCAAACACTTACCAGAGGTTTCAGGGGAAAATTCGCAGTTTTTCTTTAAAACCAAGCATCTGGTGTTCAGGTATCAAACATTTCCCAGAAAATTTACAGACTACCCTCTGGTAAACTAACATAACTATGAAAAATCACCATTTTTAATGGGTAAATCATCTATAAATGGGCCATTTTCCATGGCCATGTTAAATAACCAGAGGGTAATTCTATTTTCTTCTGTAGTTGAACCCCAGAAAATCCATGGTTTTTTTAAATCCAAGTCAAGGGCACCAGCGCTGGCCACTGCGAACCCTTGGAAGACGTCCAGCCTGCACGAAACGCCTCAGAACCCATGGCTTTCCAACCTGGAATATAATGGAATATATATATATATATATAATACACACATTCATATAACACACACACACACAGATATATATATATATATATCATATATATATAATATATATATGCATATATATATGTATATTTGTATATTATGTATGTGTGTGTTGAATCTATGAATCTATTTGTATGTGTAATGTAACCCCCAAAAAGATGAACACCAAAGATCTTACCTTTGTTTTTCTAGGTTGCTACGCTATATTGGTGGTTTCAATACACACACACAAAACATGAACGTCGGTGGGGATTTCTGTTTTGCGAAGCAGGATGATAAATAACAATCTTTGAGCCCGTGGCAACTTTTGAGTTCCATCTGACAGTTTTTTTCCCCGGAGTTCTGGGTTGACATCGGGTTAGAAAAGTTGATAAAAGCAGGGGTGCCAATACCAAGTAGCTGAAATCCTCCTTGTTCCGAAAAGCGGCGCACGTTTTTCATACGGATCTCTTCTTTTTGTTTCTGCTTCTCTTCCGAACTGCTCTGTCCCAAGATTTCCGACGGGCTCGGCACAGCGCCCTCTTGAAAGATTCCTGCGGTGGCTATGAATCTCGGCGTGAAACAACACGACGATGATAACGGCAACCTGACTTGCACTAACTCCTGCAAGGCACCTATATGACGGATATGCTATTCCTTCGAAAAGTGTGCGAACGAAATGAGATATTACGAGTATGTTTCTTTCCATGTCCAGCACCCATTTCCAGAATGTTCCACAGTGTCCCAGGCCATTTAAATCAGTTAACTAGTCGTTTCAATCATACTAATCATACTACCAATGTTTCCTCATGCAAAGTGCTCAAACATCGCTGCAACGCATACACAACCAAACATCTATATTCATCATCATTCATCTCTATTCTCACTTATTCTAGTTGGCATTATCCCCACTCTTGTCACTTATCAGTAGAAAAACACCTCAACGACAATAATGTGGACAACCGAATAATAACCCCCTAGTTTAGGATGGTTCATATCACCCATTTATGCAGTTTTCTGGTCATAGTGGGGATGCCTTTTTTTTGGGCTTTACCACATGGAAACTTTTCATACTGGGCCTCCATCAGAATCGCTGTGGATGGCCGCATCTGTCTCTTCCCCTTGGAGTTGCGACCCACTGGATGGCCAATGGACCTCGGAGGAGCTGTCAACCCTCGACCTGTCTACAAGCGATTGCGAAGTGGTCATTTGGATTGTTTTTGGTTGAATGGTGCTGGATATTGCTGGATATTGCTGGTAAAACCAAGTAAAACACAAACACCCAAAAAACAATCCAGCAATATCCAGCAATATCCAGCAATATCCGGCAATATCCGGCAATATCCAGCACTCAACCGGCGATGCAAGGAACTTGGAGCTCCGTCACTGGTGGCTGCAAAGCTGCGGACAGCACCTTCGCAACCGTCTCCTGCGCCGCGATGGCCCTTGAGGCTGGAGATACCCATCTCATGGCCATAGAAACATCCAGAACCACCTGCGAAACACTGCGAAACATCAACAAACAGTTGAATCATGTTGAATAATGTTGAATAGCTTGAAGCAGCTTGATGAATGTAGACTCCTCTGGCTCCACATTTGCTGTTGTGATGGCACTTGGAGTGACGAATAGGGATGCATGAACATTTCAATTCAAAACCCTTGCTGAGGTTGCGGATGTAAAACATAATGATCTGAGATTATACAATTGGTCCAGCCACAAGAATCTAAGAAGCAGTGGAATTGCTACTTCTACGATCATATGCATCATCTGTGGCAACATGTGGCAATATTCAAACTATGACACCTACTGCTACTGAGTTTGTGGGCACGTTGGCCCCAGTCACAACGGTGGGCTCCTGCAGCGCTTCTTCTTCTCCTTCGGAAACTTGCCAGGGCAGGTACCAATCTACCGATCTCCACCACCATTTTTAGTGATTCACCCTCCTGGTACTGCTACTATCAACAATAAACGAGCAGCAGTGACATGCAACACCTCAACTTCCCCGAGCATTCAGTATGCTTCAATGATTCATTTTTTTGATTCTGTTCAATGGATTTCAATGGTGGATTCTGTGGTGCTATATTTGATTGGGGTAATTCCTTGGTTGCTTCGTTTAGTATTCGTTTTCATCATTGATCTCCCTGTTTTTTGAGCCGGGCCCCTCACTTTTTTCCCCGATGACCATGGCATTTCAACTATCTCCCTTCTGGGATGGCTACGACCCAGGACAAGTTACTGAATGTCACCTGGAATCACCTGAAAGTCCAGCCAATCAAAAAGATTCCCCTTACTCAACATTGTTTATAGGGAGCGTCGTTTTCCCAACTGGGCCTGTCTGAAGAATTTGGAATCCCCAAAATGCAGTGCTTTTGTTAGAGCACCTTCAATTTTCCTTGGAAACATGGCCATCAATTTAGGGAACAATGTTATCTGCTATCCTTCCCCATGTCTGAACACTCACGAATTACATTGTCGGTCATATCCCACTACTTCTACCTTATACCTACATTTTCGCCTGGATCCCCCCCAAATTAGATGATCGCAAAGGAACCTCTCAAGTTTATATGACATGGGCGTTGCCTAAATGGTTTATTTCAAGACTACTTGCCTCTTCAAGAAGGGAATTCTCAAGGTCTTTGGGCACAACTGGATTAACCCCGGGACTTAGTTGGATGACAAATGATCAATTCATTGAATTCATGCAAACCTCTGAGAACCGTATCCACTCCATTGTCCATTAAACTTTTCTGGTGAACTCTCATATTCTACCCCAGCTAACATAGACCCTGCCAAATGGTAAAAATCCACATACTTGTCTCTGGTTGATAAAACCTGCCATTTTGACATCCCGTGATATTACGTGTTAAACCTCTACTATCTTTATTTGGAAACCATTCACCTTCCAGTCTTGGTTGCTTAAACTTGTCAGCCTACCATTTTCAGTTTTGCTTTGATTGGGACCCTTTAAACATCCATTTTCCATATTTTTTATCAGCAGCCAGCCATAGTTTCTGGATTATACGTCATTTTCTTCATGGTAAAAAACATATTGAAACCCCTACGACCAATCTTCCCTATAACCCACCTTAAACGTCCCAAAAAACCACATGAAACCAGTAGATTTTCATGCCTTTTTTATGGATTCCCCGGATTCCCCCCAAATAATGTGGAATTTCCCATGGCTTCCCTGCCGTCAGGCGCTCCATCTGCCAGGAACTGGGCGCTGCCATGGCCCTTCCGTGCCAGGCGCAACAGCAACGCTGTGGAGGCGCCGGAGCCCAGGCCCAAGGTGTGCAGCTCGCAACGGGCACCGCAACGCCTCGAGGCTGGGGGGAGTTTTGGATCATTTTCTTGAGATTCTACCCTCTGGTAATTTAACATAGCTATTGAAAATGGCCATTTATAGTAGATTTTCCCATTAAAAGTGGTGATTTTCCATAGTTATGTTAAATTACCAGAGGGTAACTGTAAGATCAGTTGAAATCAACCTTTTTAATGGTTTTTATATGTTTTCTTTGGATGATTTTTATCATGTGACATGAAACTAGTTGGTTGATAGGGATTCCAGAGGGATTTAACCCTGGAGTTTTTCAAAGTTTCATGCGATCCAGCTGGCGAGGTAGATATGGAAAATCACCATTGCTAAAGGGTAAATCATCATAGATTATCTATACATGGGTCATTTTCCAAAAAAATAATGATGAAACATGAATACAACCACTGACCAAAATAAAACATCTTCAGAAGCAGATTGCTGAGCAAAACGGGCCACTTTTTGGGCAATCGCAGGCGCAGTCTAGAATAGAGCTTAGCCTCGTGGCAACCTGCTCCCACTCTTTAGTTCCCGTGCCGCGCACTGAGACAATGCCCATTGCCAATGGAGCAAGCAATGGACTTATGAAATTGGAGGCGATTTGGAAAACAGCTGCATCTGAAATCACAAATGCGCATTGTTTTACCATGCCTAGGCAATTTTTGTATGTAGTTTACACATGCTTGCAGAAGGACCCGGCTAATTATTCCAAATCTGCCTTGCAAAATCTCCAGAATCTGTATGCATATCAGTATCAGCATTCAATGAGGCTGTGGGTTTTTCTGTACAACAAACCTCATGGAAAATATATGCATCATGGACATGCCACCACGAGCAAAGGCAGCACCAGTCCCAATCCACAAATTGCAAGGGCACTGATGCGCTGCTCCAACCTCTTTGGCTCGCAAATTTGGAGGTAAGTGATGGCTGGAAACGTGAGAGCATTAAAACCCATGGCGCTGCCGCCAATTAAACTCTCAAAGATCTCGATGTAGTGCTGCATGAAGCTAGCGCTGACGAGCATGAACGTCAAGATTGGCAATGTGAGCAAAACAGACCTGGCTTTAACAGGCACAACTGTGGGGAGTAAAGCTGCCGAAATGGGTGGCCAAATGATTAAAAAGTTTCTGTACTCATGTACTCAATTGATATCTCAGTCTGTAAAAAGTATCTGTAAATCGACCTATCACGACCCACAGTTCACAACTCATTTTTCACCAACGACTGTGCCTCCAACCGCCATTGCCAGCAGGTAGCTGAACTCCTGCCTTCCTTGCCAGAGATTGTGAAATTGGCCGCGTTACCGGCACGATGGCGCCCAGAAGCTTCACTGAGACCCAAATCCTGACGTCGCGGCTACTGCCCAAATATCATCAAGAGAGAACCAATTAAAAAATGAAAACAAAAGAAAGCTTTATGATAGCCTTAGTATATCTTGGTATAACAAAACAAGAAAGGAACGACATGCAATGACAGAACACCTAGTACATCCTAGTAATATCCTACAGAAATCAAAATAGATTTGCCAAGGTGTCCCAGACATCCGTTGCAGCGCGCGGCCTCCTGGAACAGTTTGGAGTGACAAATCACGGCCAGTGTTCTCGGTGATCAACGGTTGAATCGAAAATCCTGGACGTGCTTGGCATTGCTTGGCCAGTTGGCTCAGGGATCAATTTATCATGATTGATCAACAATCATATCAATCATCAGCAAATCGCAGAAGAACGAGCACCAAATACACACAATTGGCATACATCTTCCAACCTCTTCTGACATCTTCAGCCCCCCATTCATTTTAATCCGTTCGGATCCAATATGAATATGATCCAAGTGGTATAGCCTCCGGACTTCCAGCAGCCTGATTTTTTCCAAGGCTCCGAACATGTAGAAGAACCCGCCTCCCAGCACCACGGAGATCACTGTGAACATGGCCCAGCCCACCACTACGGAGCTCCGATACTCGCGCCGTGTCCGGGTGTTGTGCATCAAACAGGGAAGTAATGGGTGAGTGCCAGCTGCGAAGATGATGAGGGCAAAGGAACTGGGGATCTGGAGGGAGTTATTAAAGAGCAGTGCTGGCTCTTCCTGAGTCAAGGCATCAACAAGGCCTGACCATGTTTGCCAGGTGTGTTTGGAGATATGAGCCGTTGGTCAACACATGAAGGGACGCAAAATGAGACAAATGGCAGCTCGTGATTGTGCTGCAATTTTCTGATGAACGGCCAAGGCTGTCCTAAACGAGGGACTGTGACCGTCAAAAAAATTCTTCAATCTCTAGTTGCAGTTTGATTTGGGAGGCCATTCAGCACCTATCTTCTGAAGACAAAGCTCCCACTGAGACAATTCCAGGCCACCCAGGAAGCAGGTTCCCTCTGCAGCCAAGATTGCTAGGGCTGAGATCAAGGCAATGTATGAAAACTGTCGGTCTGGTACAGCACTGAGCCCAACACATATGGCGATGCAAAGGCACATGGCACTTTCCATGCTGAGCGCTGGAAAGACGGACGCCACCCCTTTGCCCAGGCCGATCAAGTTCATGCAGTTGAAGGTAAGGAGCTCAGCCAGGCTACAGCCATGCGCCAGCAGGGCAAACTTTAAGCCAACTGCCTCCATGGCCAGCTCAGCATAGTCTGGTGTGGGCACACCCCTGCGCATCAGCCTTAGGTTGTAAAGATGATATACGAAGGAACCTAACCACCTCAATAGCTGATTGCAATCCATCAATCAAATCCAATCAAGTTCAATGGATTCAATTAACCGTGAATTATGGCTAACCCATATCTACCTACAGCACCCGACAGAATTATGGAAAAAAAAACGTTTCAATTTACAGGCGCCGCTATGATAGAAAAGTTACGAACTTTTTTTTTTCAATAATTATTGTTTCCATATTTTTTTCCCCATAATTCTGTCGGTGATTGTATGTCCATCGATTCGCAATTTGAATGCATTTTAAGGGGGAATATTGAATTATAGAAAATATGTGTCTAAAGATCTGGTATATGCCCCTAAAGCCTGCCATTGATATACATAATATCATGTATACGGGTATGTACATGTAAACCCCATTTCACCATTAGCTTCCCGACAATAAATCCAAAAATCAACTGCCGCCGCTGAAAAATCAGGTCTCCCAAACATGACATGTCCAACAGGTGGAGCCCCAAACATTAATTATGGAAAACATAATTATGGAAAAACCGGTCAATCTGCCCTAGCCCCCTGATTTCACAGGAAAAATCAATTATGGAAATAATGGCCACCTCCAAGAATTATGGAAAAAAAAAGGTTCGGATCACTTCCGGGATATTTTGAACCCTTATGGGGAAAAATCCAATTATGGAAAAATCGGACGCAGGCGCCGCCTGTCTAATAGTTGAACGTTTTTTTTTTCCATAATTCTGTCGGTTACCATACTTTTCTACACGCGCAATCTATGCAAGCCTTAAATCATCTCGAATCTGTCTAGTGAACTATCATCCCGATCGCCTCGCCAAATGGTCGTAGCTAAGTGAACCATGATCTACCATGATGTATCCATGAAGGGGTCCGGTAAAGTACATCTGCACACTCCCTTCAGCCAGGCCCAGAACAGCCTAAAGCACAAATTGAATCACCCACTTGACAGTATTAGTGGCAACGGTACTAACATGTATTTATCTATGCCAAAACGTACCAAAACCTACTACGCTTATGCCCAGTGAACTGCACCAAAGCATCCGACATCAGAAGCGCTGTATGGGCGCAAAGTGCAGAGCCCAACGCAATCAGGAGGATGGCAAACCAGCCATGGCGAACAAAAAGTACTGGCAAGGTGAACTGACCAACGTTCATCAAGAAGTTCAGCAACTAAAACCTCAGCTGAAGGCTTCAACTTGCAACCCGTTCACCGTTTTTCACAAAAGAGGCCTGATTAAAGGTCCTAGAAAAAAACAGGAAAAACGGCACACGGGTACTCTTTTTGCCTTCCTGCCCATCCTAAAGTAAACTCCAGGAACTGCAAACTTTCGGAAAATTTTTGGTCACCTTGGTGTTTTTCCAAGCAACTGGCTTCCAGCATGGTCATCATAGCCCCATCTCCATCCGGTGCTCGAACTCGTGCTGGAGTGCCCAGTGGGGCAGTTGTTCCCCTTGGACTCGCTGGATCAGGCATTGTCTTGGCCGTGATTTGATGTGCAGGCGTTTCTTCATCGGGTTCATCGAGGCCGTACACCAGCAAGAGCTCTTCATCTAGGGGGGCGGATGGTGGCCACAAATCAGGCGATGAAAGGAATGGGGCAAGGTTCAAATATGGTATAACCTGGAAAGCTAAAAGTTTCATCAAGTTCTATATGTATCCACTCCAAGCTTATTCAAGCTTCATCACTTTGACGCATGCCCACGTCCAGGAACATGAAAAGATATGAAAAGACAAAAGGTAGAACTGTGGGGGTCTCCCAAAATCCACCCACTTGATCGTAACATCTAACCATATATGAAAGATCATGCATTTCCAGTTCGCCGCATTCCAGGATCATAAATCCCACGGCCTGGTATGAGTCGTGGTGTACTGGGCACAGTGTCTGAACTGGAGGATGCATCCAACTTCCACAGCAAATCCGGGCCCAACAGCGGATCAGCCAGGGCTGCCCGCAGCACCGGGGATGACATGAGGCTGGCAACGGCCATCAAGGCGGCGCTGAAAACGCGGCGTGTCTCTGTTGATCAACGGTGGGATGTAAGGCAAATTCGATCCATGTGCGAGAACAGAAATTGGATGGCAATGGAAATGGATGGAAATTCATTGATTGTTACTGACATTTACTAAATAAACCCGTGATATCGAAGTGCCTTGACATGATATGAGAAATTGCAGGCTCACCATTTCATGTCATCTCTTGCCTTGACACTTTGTACTGCGCCGAGACCATGAGGATCAGGAATTCTTCGACCGAACCCATCGTCCCCATCCCACGACCTCCCGATCTTGCCGAGGGTCTCTGCCACTGAAATGACATGGTCGGTATTCCAAACCTCACCATCAGTCAGAACCAGGACGCGACGATGAAAACCATCCTTCAACTCCCGGGACAGGACGTACTCCAATGGTCGAGCCAGCTCCTAAGGAAGCGCTGGATCAAACCCAACTTGCCGTTTCTATCCATGACTTGGTTGAAATGTTGAAGGGATCGTAGGAACCTTCCTGTTGGGAGAGTGCAAACCAACTTCTGTACCATGTCCTGCAGACCAAATCCTCTCCAGGTAGCCAGGGATGGGTCAAAATCCCACTGGTAAATTTCACTCGTGTCTTCCACCATCTCGAAGAATTCCTCTCTTCGGTTCTTGGGTGGGTTCCCCAAGTCTGATCCCATTCTTCGGACCCCAAATTGTTTCCAAAACTCAAATCCACCGCAAACTTTGGAGGCAAGTTGCTGTGCCACCCAGGTTGGCTTCCAAGGTCCGGGCATGTGCCAGTGCCGTGTGAAAATGCTCACCCTCGAGCTGCACCGGGGAAGGAAAAAGCTTCTCATATGAGTTGCCAAAACCTGTGCGAAGCGCAGGCACTTCGAATGGTAGGCGAAGCAGCTTTGTTGGCATCCAATCCACTGTGAATAGAAAGATATTTGCAAGTGGGGTGATCATACTTTCAAAAGGTGGGAGAGGAGAACCTTTTTTGGGGGACGTGCTGAAGCCATTGAAGCCCAGCCATGTTGTAACCCATCTAGTGACGCTTGAACTTTTGGTACCTCAATAAGCTGAAGATCATCCTCCAAATCTGCCCAGCTGCTGCCCCCCTGTGGGCCCCAGCGTTCCCCAGCCTATGATGTCCACCAACGCTTGGAAAGGGCAGGATCGAACAAAGTGCTCCAAAGCCTGCCTGGCAAAGAGTTCCTTACGGCCTTGCATAGATCCACTGCGATCCACCAAGATGCTGATTTCCTGCAGGTGAAGGGACATCCGGCAAGAATTTGTGAATGGCAAATCGCACTATGATTTAACCTCTACAATCAGAGGATTGTGATTCGCTAAGAATATCACAATAGTTCACCATTGGACTGTGCTACGCCACAATGGTCAACAATGCCATATCCCACCCAAATCTAATCTTTTTTCCAATGCTATTGCCATTTTGGGGGTGTTACCCAGTTTTAGAATTTTCTAGACACACCCAAATCAACATATTGTTCGTTACATCCCTACACATAATCCAACGTAGATCCGCTGGGTCCGCAACATCGGCTTTTCTGTCAAGTGTCCACGTTGGTCAGCAGGTCCCATGAGAAGCGCGGCACCTTGCGTGTCCGCGAAATTCCCCTCTGGTCATTCAACATAGCTACTGCTGTGAAAGCCATGGCTTATACTGTAGATGATTTTCATTGACTTTCCCTATTAGATATGGCGATTTTCAATAGCTATGTCAAATTGTTCAAATTAATTACCAAAGAAGACTGTAAAATGGGGCCGTACCGTACACCTCATTATCAGCAAAGTGGGCGTCAAAAAAAACCGGAGTTGATAGCGTCATCAAGGCGCCAGTTCGGCCACTGCCACCCAAGTTTTCAGTTTCGGATGTTGTTCCAGCACCGCCCGAGGTCTGAAGAGGCTCCTGTCCTCATCAAAAAAAGGTGTTGCCACAGGAACTGCAACTGCTGGGCAATTCTTTCTATCAAATGTGGCATGAACAAACCGACCAACTCCTTCAAATCACCATGCCGGAAACAGGCACCTTGCTATCGCTAATGGGTCCCAAAAACAAACCATGATCCACAAGTTCTTCCTAACCTTTCTTCCTATCCGCCACGTGCTCCCAGTCCTGTGAGAAATGGATGTGAAGGACGAAATCCTTAGAGATGTCCTGCCACTTCCTCCAAGGCAGAACGTGAACTCAGATGGACTTAAGATGACTTAAGGACTTCAGTGACATGATCACAAGGCAATCGAAACAAACATGGAAAAATATTGACATGTCCTGGCAGCCTGAAATTACTGTACATATACTGTACACAATGTAGTAGCCGTCACATGTGTTCACACATCACATGCGCAGACATTTTCTCCATCCGCACACGCAGTAGTATATATGTAATTAATTGTAATTACTCATGGTGTGTAGAGTGTAGATGCACATTCAATCATGTTGTCATAAGTAGATGCACCGATGCAGTGCATAACGGTGCATATATCTTGTGGTTTATCGTTGCCGCAGTTACTTTTCTAGCTTTCTTTGATGTCCCTATCAGTGATGACCACGCCTCATCTCGACTTGAGCCACGGTCTTAGACACATCGGCAGCATTTCCGCCTTCCTGGCACGTCGGCACGTCCGGCACGTCATGGTACGTCCAGCCAATGCTCTGGGATTAGTTACCATCAAGGTGGAATATAGTGGATAGTTAGATACATATATGTACAGAATGTATAGATGTACAAAGAAGAATGCAGTGTAACATGTATATTATATATAATTATATATATATAATTATATATATATAATTATATAATATAATATAATATATATATATATATATATTATATGTGTTAAAGTTAATCACGGTTTGAGATGTATGTTCCTAGGCAGGTCATCCAACTCTTGGGATTCGGTGCAAATTCTTGACTACGGCAAGGGGGAGAACTGCCAATCAATCTCGGTTTTCGTATGCATCCCTCGTCAGGATCGAAAACAACGCAAACTGCAACCACCAACAATCTAGAACCCCAACTATATACTGTTGGTTGCATATTATATATTCTATGTATACCTTGACACACATTCTTCTATATATATAATATCAATCAGTACTATACAGTCCTATCTCTCTCGTTCTTTGTATGTGGGTCAGATTATCCTCATGACTGTTGCACAGTCGAAGGGTCAGGATGGGAACCGCACCATCTTCAATCCAAATGACGTGAACTTTTGCTGGTCAAATTCAAACCGCATATGTATACCCTCCGGCCAATTAAACATCCAACATGGCAATTGGACATCTTTTCTAATAGATCTACAGTATATAAATACGTGCTTTTAATATTATATATATATATATATATGTATGTATGTATACATATATATATATATATATATATAATTTAATGGGAAAATCATCAATGAATTGGGTCCATGGTCAGTTCCTAAACCTCCAGGTGGGATAGGGTGGCCTTGGGGCTCCCGGCAGTACTGAGCAGCTCTCCATGGGATGGAGATGACACCGTCGCTGAGGGTTCAATGGCGATGGCGAGTTTCACGGAAGGCGCTTGGTGTGTCGCTGCCTGCCATTCGGGAAAAACCGCGGGCTACGGTTTTTAAGAGAAAAAAAGGGATCAGGATCACTCACTTACAAACCAAATATCATGGAATATCATGAATATCATGGGGTATCCTCTGTTTGTGACTTCTTCATACTTTTTTCTAAATGACAACGGCTAAGGAGCTTTCATTTTTCATGGTTTTCCCACTGGCAGCAGCCCCTTGGATCCTGGGATGACTGCAAGGTCTGCAAGGCCTGCAGCAATTTCTCAGATGGGTCATCTGGTGAGTAGCGGCTGGGAGCGCCCACCAAGGCAGGAAGGAGGAGCCGAAGGAAGCCCTGGTTCTTCATGTCGGAATCCTGCAGAAAGCTCACAGAAACTACCAGATTTTGAGCCGTTGGAAACCAAACATGGACCCTCCCCCCCTATGGAATGGTGTTTGACATATTTAGACATAAGGTGTTAGACACAATCCATCATAATCCCATGGTTTTTCCATGTTTTTCCCATGGTTTTTTGGAAAAGAATCCGTTTTCCCTTGAAAAAAGGGCTTTCCGAGCCTGAAGAGGCAGCTCCTGAACGAAGGAGAAGTTGACCAAGGCCGGCTGCCGCGTGGGAAGGTTTCCCAGGGAGATGCGGTACCTGAGGTCGTGGCCTTTCCAGTTGGACCAGCGAGCACGGTCAATGGTCACTTACCCTCTGGTAATTTAACATAGCTATTGAAAATGGCCATTTATAGTGGATTTTCCCATTAAAAATGGTGATTTTCCATAGTTATGTTAAATTACCAGAGGGTATGGGAAATCTTGAGCATATCATGCGTATGGCTCTGACGACTATTTTGTGGCCATTAAATGCCATTAAACTCACCCTTGGTTTTCTCGGTTACAGCCTGATGTTTGAAACTACCCATCTTTCTTGGCACCTTCTGCTCATAAGAAATCCCAGCCAACAGCACCCAAATTTGTTTGTGATTTCTGCGCCCAAATTTCCCCAGTTCCACGCCAGTTGCAAGCCCTTATAATTTATCTCCGTTTAATATCAACCCCGGATTAATAAACCCCTAGGCTGTTAAGTTCAATAAGGGGTTTCCATTTAAGTAGGGAATTCATGGCAATTTTCACTATTTGCAGGAGCCCCCCTGATTCATCAACCGGGGTTTATCCCAGAATTGACACTATCTCAGCTACATGGAGCTGCCAGATGCTGCCAGAGTTGCAGGTCCATCCCATTTTCAGCCACGCTGAAGCCATGCTGAGCCAAAGCAGCGCAGCGCGATTCTTTGATGGCCGTCTGGTAGGCCTGCTGTGCTTCATGCCTTGGGACAGCCATTGAATCCAGGTGCAGATTCTTCCATGCTTCAGGATATCAGGCCCCACCAAGGGTGAACGCACTTTCCGAGGGGCAAAATACAACCAAAAACATGTCCAAGTTTTTTTTTAAACTCCGCCTAGCCACCTAGCCTCCAAACAAATCAAACGAGACAGCACAAGCAATGCAAATCAGTTCAGTTTTCAGTTTGTGGTTCCAGTTCATCTTTGGGTTTGTGAACTTGACTTCACAACCCACACCTACCTCTCCAGGAACCATCAACATTGGGATCGGTCCAAACCATCCTGAAACATGGCCCAGTTGCCTCTCCATGACTTTGCCCTGCAGAAAACGGCCATTGATTTCCGCAGTGAAGCCTGTGACGATGGTTCCAGCATGGATGGGAAACACAAAGTAGGTGTCTTTCATCTTCGATTCTCCTCGGACAGTGGCGCACCCCAGGCAAACAAACGTGGCAATTGCAACTTTCCCTCATGTACACATGCTGCGTATGGCTGCGTACTAAAGTTACTAAAGCCTTCCATTACACGTTTTCAAAGTATGAACGATGCAGCGATGCTGTTCCCACGGCCTCCAACTTTGACCAAGCTGCCCTTGCTGTTTAGAACGCCGCCTTGTGGACACAATCTGTGATTTAGAGGCATGTAATGGTAGCAAAATCTAGAGGCATGTAGGTCCAAATTGGGTAGCCAAAATCATTACCGCAGAATGTTGAATGAAATTTGAATCATGGCCAAGATTGGCCAACATCTCTGGAGCATCAGTCTTCCGATATTTGAGTTGAACCAATCAATTTAATCAAGTTGCGGAAGACCTGCTGAAGTTTGGTCGTGGCAATAGCTCCTTTGATTTCCTGAGGTCCAGGCAGGGATGCTGATCCATACTTTCGTCTCTTGGGCGGTACAATTATCTCCAAGATTCTCCAAGATTCTCCGACGATCTCCAACCACCATCTACAATAATTCTACAGAACCAGCCCAAGATTAACAGATAGAAGAGTTGAACTCTATGTCTATGTTTGTCTATGTCCTTCGTGCCTCACCTCCCAAGTTCAGGGAACATCCAGTGGCCAAGGCTCCACTGCAACACTGGCGGATTCAACTGCTGCCACGCATGGCTGCTGACCACAGGTTCCCACCAAACCCACTTGCAGAGCATGGCTTCCTGCCAAGGCACTGCAAGTCCCAGTGTTTTTTTTTTGTTTTGTGTTTTTGATGGTGTTTTTGGTTGTCCAATTTGTCCATTGTATTTTGGGTATTTTTGGGTGGGGTTCCAAGTCAAGTCGTTGATGACTTGGGATGGTTGGGGTTGTGGCTTGGAACCTCGGTTCTTTCCCTCGTAGATAGGCTGACATTGAGGAGGAGCTTTGAGGAATCAGTTCTGAAGTCCTCCGCCACTGTTTGGCAGGCCAACTTCCTTACCTGGTCATGTTAGGTTCTTAGCTGGGGATGTTAGTTTGTCATAGTTGATCAATATCGCCCTTCCTGTAGTTCTCTTGGATTCTTGCTGACTGCGCCAAACCACTGTCGCATTCCTCCTTCTCAACGTGTCTCAACAAGCAGAACAAGGGGCAGTGCAATGGAAGTTTACAAATCCCGGTCCTATGAAAGCAAAAGCAGCCAACGACCATAGGGATAGTGCCATCATTTGGATCCTGCAGGACCCCGTTGAGCGCTCGCAGCTGTTGGGTTGTGCCACAAATGCTGCGGGTTGATGCAGCATGATGCAGCTTCGAGCCCATTTGGCAATTCTGTTCTTTTGGCACAACTTACAAACAGAAAGGGACCAAAAAGTGAAAACGTCGTCCAACTCTGAAACTATATATCTATTACAGTATAATTAATGATTGAACCAATGCTTATCAGGCTGGTGGTTTCAGAGCCCTCTTGAAAATAACTATCGTCCGCCATGTGGATCGTCATCCCAAATATAAATATACAGCCTGAAATATACAGTGTGACAAGTGCGGTTGAACATGAAAATAAAACTCTCTTAAATCACATTTTTTTCTTGTGATCCATCATAGGAACCATACCACCCTGCCAGTATTTTGTTAAATCTCATGCCAAATCTTCCTATCTTTTTGGCTGCCTCTCCTCTTGGAAACTTCCACTCTCCCTGTCCGGGCTCTACTTGTGACCAGTCACTTAGTCAACTGCAATCATCCAAATCTTTCCAAAAATCAATGACATATCCAATGTTTCCCAAACATGATCATCATCCCATCCAAAATATCCCAACATATCAATGACATTGAAAAATATCAATGACATGACAATTTCATACAATTTTAATGTCCCAAAATTTCCCAACATTGGTGGTTTCCCAAGGTTTCCCAACATCCTATCCAAAAGCGTCATTGAAACCACCAACGTCGTGCTGTTTTGAAAACGGAACCACCTGAGGTCGGACTGTAGTGGAGATAGTGCGCACAGCCACGGTGCTCCTCCAGGTTTTTCGGGGATTTCCATGGATTTCCATGATGTAAAGAGGGGACTTCACCATGATTCACCATGATTCACCACTAGAAATTGAGGATTTGGAGCCTTAAGATATCTGAAGATTCGAAATCCCACCCGCTTAAACATGGTTAAACTGATTAATCTGGTTCGCAGTTCTCTCTCTATTCTTTTAAAACAGCATCCATTCAATCATTCCCCATGGGATTCAAACACTGGAATGACTGTGGGGAAGATCAGGGTCTCCCAGTCCTGGGCGAAGTGCTGGGGGCCTTCTTCACCACAGCCTCCTCGCGTTGGGCCCGACATCTGGGCCTTGGAGATCTCAAGAAATGCACTTCCCATGTGCACAGGGCATAAGGTGAAACCATATCAAACCGTGTTATACTTAAAGACCTATGAAACACCATATAATTGCAATTAATATAGTACCACATCATATATAAAAACCACATGGTACTCTTGAACGATGTGGTATAAACATACATACATACATACATACATACATACATACATACATACATACATACATACATACATACATACATATACATACATACATATACATACATACATACATACATACATACATACATACATACATACATACATACATACATACATACATACATACACACACACACATATATATATATATATGCACATACATACATGCATACATATACATATAGAGTTATATAAAATCGAAGCGTCATAAATCATAAAGCGTAATCTTTTGGTTCAAAAAGGTCGTGTGTGATGCCATCCATTTCGCAGCAAATTTTTGGCTCAGGTCTTCAGAAGTCAGGGCTCTGACGTGACCCGCGTCACCGCCTGCACTCTTCCAGCAGTGGCTTGCGGGGTATACTCGGGTACGGGGGCAGTAGGCAGTACGGGTTTATTACAGTATGTCTATTGCATTTTCTTGTTGGGGGTCCAACTGAATCACATGAAACTTAAATAATCACACTACAAACGCGCAATAAGACATACCCTGGGTATCATATGGATCATATGGTATCATTGGGTCACTTGATGTCACTTCAAACAAAATGTCCCACTAGACCACACTGTTCTGAGCTTTGAACAGCGATGATGCGGCGCGTTTGTTTTCCTGCTATGAGAAGCACATCTTGGGTGCGGCTGGATACAGCATAGATCAGTATAGGGACATACACTGGCGTTTCCTGCAAGAATGTGCGACTACACCCACAATGGTTCCTGTATGTTTCGCCGTCCCTCTCTACTAGCTGCTAGCTCAGCATCACATTGAAGGCTCAGGTTTGGGGTTTCGATTTTTCCCAACTTACGGTATACAAAAAGTCTGGATATGTCTGCAAAATCATTGCTGCGCGCCTGTCATAGCTGAACTGCTGCTGCTACTTGACCTGCAAGCGCCAAGTGACTGTGTCCCGCATGAGTTTCTTTTGGCAGTAAAGCTATTGGCAATTGGGTACTCCCAAAATTGGCCATACATCACCTCCGCACTACTGGACAATTATTGACACCTGACATATTGACATCTGGTAAGGGGTCATTAATCACCACGGGCGCATCCCTTAGGATCCCTTAGGACAGACCAAGTGGCGTGTTCGAGGGAAAGGTCGTGCTGCTGGTGCCTGTGAGGGGACTCTTTGGGATTAGCTTAATAGAGGGTGCCGTAATTATTGGATAGAACATGATAGAACATGACAGGAATGGATTTTAGATTCTGCAAAATGGGATCTCTCCGACGCTTGTTTGTTTGGTGTGATATGAACATTCAGAACTTCTGTCAACATCTACAGGCTCCTGAGGTTGCAGAATTTGACCCACAACCCAGTTCCTTTGCTGAGAGGTTCCGACTTGGTGGTCGCACACCTGCAGCAGTTGGGGCCGATAAATCAATGTGGCAATCTGACTCCGGGTCACTAAATGGACATCTCAAATTGCTTCAAGCCGCAAGGTCCTGCCAGCTTTTCGCTCTTGCATTCAGGGAAATCAGTGCAAAGATGTGCAAAGATGTTGCTGGATATTTGGTGATTCTGGTGAAACGCTTGCATATGGATTGTGGAAGCCTTAAGGCATCCCGAAGCTAAAGCCACCGAATTCGGCATGCCACATGGCAAAAAATGCAATGAGAATGTGCTGGATTCCTGCTGGATGGGGAGTTGTGGGGATGTTGTGGGGATGTATCCAAACTAGGTTTCTAGATGTTTCTAGTTTGTCAATTGGGCTTCTCGGATTTTCTGCCCCCCTGAGTAAATCTGGTAGCTTGGATCTTGCCAAAAAGATCTACTGTAGATTCCATATGATTCCATAGCAAAGGAAATCGAACCTGGTCGGTGCACACGGCCAGGCTCAATCAGCGCAGCTGATTGATTGGGCCAGCCGGATTTGGCCAGTGCATCGGCCCCTTTGCAAAAAATGAGGAGTTTAAACTTAGCGCAGAGCAACTGCAAACTCTAATGATCTCTAATGTTGAAACGATACAACGAAGAAACAAAATGAAACAACTGGATCCAAATGCACTACGTGTTCACTTTTATCATCTTTTATCCACTGGAACTTTCAGCGTGCTGAACCCTGTTGAACAGACTTTGGCCTCGGGGGCTGAGTAAAGGCCCCTATAGCGCTATGTTGTCACTTGTGTTGCTCTGCCCTGTGGGACATTTGCTCAGCCATCTTGTGACCATTTGTGACCTGCAATGCGAAGTTGCAGAGGTAAACATCGTGCATGCCGCTCACTGGACAAAAAGCAGGCAATTTGGACCATCAGTTACATTGACATGTACTTTTGTGTCGAATTACTCCACCTCTTTCCATGTTACCAAAGAACGGAGAAACTAATCTTTGAACCACGCCTTGTGCAGCTTATTTCGCTGCGTCCTCGCCCTTGGATTCATCTCGAAATCTCCAAGAAGCCGAGTCACCCTTCAATGCAGTAGATAGGCTCATGGGAGCCTCAGTTTCACAAGCTCAACACATGCAAAGTCATGCAACATATTGAACAAGACTTCGGATAGCTTGAGATCACAGGAAACACGACCTGTTCAAACAATATGTCAACCAGTATGCTATACTATACGCCGATACGCCTCATGATTTTCCATGAGTACAGCTTGGGCTCAAGAAAAAAATGCAAGAAAATTCTTGCCTTCAGTTCCTCACCAAGCAACCGGTGGCTTTGCACTAGGCCACGGTCGAGGGGACCCTTCCAGACTCTTATTGAGGTTGGGCGTGCTCGCTGTGGTCCGGCTGCTGCCGAATTTCCGAGGTGACTCCGAGGGAAAGTCCGTGGAGGCCGCGGTTGAAGCCTCCGACAAGACTCCGCCTTGATTTAACGTCAAACTCCTGCAGGTTTCAAGGGAGGCCTATACAGTAACATGTGGTGCTTAAATGCTTAAATTGCTACATTATGGTACAGCAACCCCCAAAAAAGATAGAATCGTGTTTCCAGGATGGTGTTGATATGTATTGATTATGTTGTCCCCGTAATGGCCAGGTTTCCAACGGTTCTATTTCTTTTTGGGGTTGCTATACATAATGAGAGATCAAATGACGTTTCCTCAATTTCCAATATACGGAAAGTAAGCGGCCTGAAGCCCTGTCCTGGGCCCTCTGGGAGGTTGTTGAGGTGAACAATCAATTCTTCTTCTTCGTCTGGTGCTTGTTGACCTTGGGGATGCTTCTCTGGTCAAAGGTTCCTCCGTTTTCTCCAACTTTTCTGTTTTGTCGCTTTTGTCGGTTTTCTGGGAATCCGATCTTCGCAAACTGGGTGCCTCAGGAGGTTTCCCCAGATTGGACCTGCTGGTGTGTCTGGACAGCACCGCTGGCCGCGGCTTCTCCCCAGGCTCCGACAACGGCGACATGCCACGGCTCCGGGACGCAGCGCGGATGGCGCTGCCCACCGCAAAGGCCCGGCCGGCGCTCTCCTGCTCTGCTGCGGTGGCACCTAGGGCCATCAGCTGCGGGTCTGGGGCCTCAGCCAAGGCGGCGCACAACAACTTCCGCTGGGAGGTGTCCACTTCACTGAGGCAAAATCGGACCGTTTCATTGGAGAATTGTTTGCAGGTGGCCAGAACTCCAATGAGTTGGGGTCTGATGGCCTCACCTGCCTCCTTGCTGGCTTCATGGACTCGTTCCAGTTGGCCCCCCAGGGCTGAAAGCAGCAGTGCCACTACATCCTTCTGAGCACAGAGTCTCAAGCCAAAGTCACTGAGTAAGGTCCGCAACAGCACCAGTTGCCTCACAGGATGTTCAGATCTGGAGATGGAAGCAATGACCATCTTGGTGACAGCCTCACATCCTACCTTTGGATGTTTGGCCAGCTGTTGCACCAACTTATCTGAAGCCACCCCGACCTTCACATCACCAGCCAAACTGGACAAGGCTGTCCTCTCCAGCAAGGTGGGGAACACTTTCCCAAGTGCCATGTTGAGGTCAAGCCCTGACAGGGAAGTGCCCAACTGCTGCACTGATGACTGGCACAGCTCTACAGCACAAAGGAAAACATAGCGATCTGCGCCGGTTGGTGCAGCCAAAGCCTGTTGAATTGCCCTGCAAATGTTGGAAAATGCCTCGTCCAAACTTCCTGAACTTCCACAGTTGCCCTTGCCAAGGGCCTTCAATGCTGCAATCACATGCTTTTCATCGCCCCTTCTTGGAGCCGACAACACTCCCAAAATCTCACTACTGCAACCAGCCCAATCAGCCAAACTGCTTGGGACGTCCCAAGGGATGCATGCAATGGTCATCCCAGTCATACCCAGCGACCTCTTGACTTCAGGACTCTCCTCAGGCACCACTTCCGGCAGCTTCAAATACCTCCGAACCTGTCCGATGGACTTCACCGGCACATCCTTTGGCAGGCTGGCCACCCAGGTCTCCCGAGCAGGACGCTGGGATTCTTCGTCACCTAAAGATCTCAAATGCATCTTGCAAACCAAGGTATAAAGGCGAACAGCTTGATGTCTCACAGATGGATCTGCATGTTTCAGACCATCCGAAAGTCGGAGCCATTCCCCTGGATTGGAACTGCCGGGCTGTTGCACAATCATCTTGGGGTATTCTTTACACAGCTGCCGTAGGGCACTGAGGCGACATAACCATCCCGTCACAGCTCCTTTCCCAGTGGCACCCTTACCTGGCTGTGGGGAATCCCCACTCCAAAATATGCATCATACAGTCAACAAAAACTGGAACCAAACTACTAGTATTAGTGAATTGGGATCATCATATCATACATACATACATACATACATACATACATACATACATACATACATACATACATACATACATACATACATACATACATACATACATACATACAACATACATACAACATACATACATACATACATACATACATACATACATACATACATACATACATACATACATACATACATACATACATACATACATACATACATACATACATACATACATTACATACATACATACATACACACATACATACATACATACATACATACATACATACATACATACATACATACAATAATACATACAATACCCTCAAGATCAAACAAACCCCCTTGTCCGACATTTTAGAACCCCGAATCTGGGGTCTAAAATCGTATTTCCTTAAAAAACCCAAGGTTTCCCAATTTGTGAACGGAGACCATTCTAGAACCCCAGCATGTACGGAGGGGTAGGGTTCTAAAATCGTTTTCCTGTAGCTATAAAATTAGTAATATTTATCATGTTTTTTGGATTGTCGTTTTGGCAAAAAAAATGTCAAAATTTCGCACGTCAAATGGACACTGATCTTTTCTCTCCCCACATATTGTGCAGTTCGGGTCATCACACTGCTTTCGGTTTTTCTGCTAGACCTGCTCCTTGTTATGATTTAAAGCAAAATTTTGCATTTCATTTGCACACAGATTTTTGTCCTCCCGTACGCATTGCACGGTTCAGGTCATCATAATGTTTTGGATTTTCTGTTTTTGAAAGATTTTTTTTAAGGCCGCGTCAGGCTCACCTTTTCCGGAAAATATAAGCAGCACCTTTCTTTAAAGCAAGGTCGGGATGGATGCAAAAATCGATTGCAACTTTTTGACCCCCTTTCCCCCCACAAAGACTGCGTCGTCCAGTCATCTTTTGAAATCACCCTCTTCCTTTTAACATATCTTACCGCATTAGAGTCTGGCAAGACTATCGCATTGAAGGAAAGATTGCCTTGCCCATGACCAGTTTCAAACCTTCCTGGGCCATCAGTCTCTCCCTTTTCTTCGTTCTCCGAAAATTCTCTATCAAATGTGTTGCAGACGGATGTAAAATGCAGAAGCGATGTGACAAAATGGCTAAGTTTGGGTACAGCTGGCCATCAGTCAGCACCCGTGGGTCTAAAATATTTGCCTTCAAACTTCAAGCTCTCCAAAAGCATTTTGACACGCATTGACCTGGGGAAGATGATTAAAGACCCGCCTCCTTCTTTCCAAACGGTTTGGTTGAACCAAAAGTGCTGGTACCTAAAGAATGTGCAGAACGATGTAGAATGCAGAAGGGGTGTCAAAGGATGGCTAAGCGGATCAGTTGGCTTGGCTTATAGCTGGCCATCAGTCAGCACCTGGGGTTCTAGAATGGTTGCCTTCAAGCTCCAAAAGCATTTTGACACGCATTGCCCTGGGGAAGATGATTATAGACCCGCCTCCTTCTTTCCAAACGGTTTGGTTGAACCAAAAGTGCTGGTACCTAAAGAATGTGCAGAAGGATGTAGAATGCAGAACGGGTCGTCAAAGGATGGCTAAGCGGATCAGTTGGCTTATAGCTGGCCATCAGTCAGCACCTGGGGTTCTAGAATGGTTGCCTTCAAGCTCCAAAAGTATTTTGCCACGCATTGCCCTGGGGAAGATGATTATAGACCCGCCTCCTTCTTTCCAAAAGGTTTGATTGAACCAAAAGTGTTGGTACCTAAAGAATGTGCAGAAGGATGTAGAATGTAGAAGGGGTGTCAAAGGATGGCTAAGCGGATCAGTTGGCTTGGCTTATAGCTGGCCATCAGTCAGCACCTGGGGTTCTAGAATGGTTGCCTTCAAGCTCTCCAAAAGCATTTTGACACGCATTGCCTGGGGAAGATGATTATAGACCCGCCTCCTTCTTTCCAAACGGTTTGGTTGAACCAAAAGTGCTGGTACCTAAAGAATGTGCAGAAGGATGTAGAATGTAGAAGGGGTGTCAAAGGATGGCTAAGCGGATCAGTTGGCTTATAGCTGGCCATCAGTCAGCACCTGGGGTTCTAGAATGGTTGCCTTCAAGCTCTCCAAAAGCAGTTTGACACGCATTGACCTGGGGAAGATGATTATAGACCCGCGTCCTTCTTTCCAAACGGTTTGATTGAACCAAAAGTGCTGGTACCTAAAGAATGTGCAGAAGGATGTAGAATGTAGAAGGGGTGTCAAAGGATGGCTAAGCGGATCAGTTTGGGTTCCAGCTGGCAATCAGTCAGCACCTGGGGTTCTAGAATGGTTGCCTTCAAGCTCTCCAAAAGCATTTTGACACGCATTGCCCTGGGGAAGATGATTATAGACCCGCCTCCTTCTTTCCAAATGGTTTGGTTGAACCAAAAGTGCTGGTATCTAAAGAATGTGCAGAAGGATGTAGAATGCAGAAGGGGTGTCAAAGGATGGCTAAGCGGATCAGTTGGCTTGGCTTATAGCTGGCCATCAGTCAGCACCTGGGGGTCTAGAATGGTTGCCTTCAAGCTCCACAAAAGCACTTGACACGCACTGACCTGGGGAAGATGACAATAGACCCGCGTCCTTTTTTCCAACCGGCCTTGTTGAACCAAAGTGTTGGTATCTAAAGAATGGAGGTGTTGGGTGGAAACACGGAGGCGCATCACTGCAGGTTGCTCATCACAACTTGACCTGGCATTTGCATTTTCCAAACAACATTGGCATTGTGTGGGAGGTTGAAGGTAATGGTGAGGCTTGTTTTTTTAATTGCGGATGTTGCCGGATATAAATCAATACCTTGTTGATCATTGCACATTGCTGCAGCTGCTCAACACCGTGTGAGCTCCTTTTTTCAGAAATTTCAAACCAAGCGACATTGAAACCACCTGGTTTTGAAAATGCAAATCTTGATCGACCAAAACGAGGGATGTTAATTCCAAACATGTTTTGCACTTTCGTGCAGAGACCTCATCATGACTTGGTTCCTTTTTCTGCACTCCAAAATAATGACCTTTCTTGTGGTCTGATAGAATCAATTCATACCACAACAACGCTCATACATCCAAACTTTCAGGGTTCTAAAATCCTAGCCGTTGAAGGTTCTAAAATCATAGTGGTGATGATTTTAGAACCCTCAACGGGAACCCCAGGGGGGGAGGGATTCTAGACCCCTCGATCTTGAGGGTATTACATTACATACATTACATACATTACATACATTACATACATTACATACATTACATACATACATACATACATACATACATTACATACATTACATACATACATACATACATACATACATTACATACATACATACATACATACATTACATACATACATACATTACATACATTACATACATTACATACATTACATACATTACATACATTCATACATTACATACATTACATACATTACATACATTACATACATTACATACATAACATACATTACATACATTACATACATTACATACATTACATACATTACATACATTACATACATTACATACATTACATACATTACATACATTACATACATTACATACATTACATACATTACATACATTACATTCATTACATACATTACATACATTACATACATTACATACATTACATACATTACATACATTACATACATTACATACATTACATACATTACATACATTACATACTTTACATACATTACATACATTACATACATTACATACATTACATACATTACATACATACCATACATACCATACATACCATACATACCATACATACCATACATACCATACATACCATACATACCATACATACCATACATACCATACATACCATACATACCAAACATACCATACATACCATACATACCATACATACCATACATACCATACATACCATACATACCATACATACCATACATACCATACATACCATACATAACATACATACCATACATACCATACATACCATACATACCATACATACCATACATACCATACATACATACATACATACATACATACATACATACATACATACATACATACATACATTACATACATAACATACATACCATACATACCATACATACCATACATACCATACATACCATACATACCATACATACCATACATACCATACATTACATACATTACATACATTACATACATTACATACATTACATACATTACATACATTACATTACATTACATTACATTACATTACACTACATTACATTACATTACATTACACTACATTACACTACATTACATTACACTACATTACACTACACTACATTACATTACATTACATTACACTACATTACACTACACTACATTACATTACATTACATTACATTACCATACATACATACATACATACATACATACATACATACATTACATACATACATACATAACATTACATATATTACATAACATTACATATATTACATAACATTACATTACATAACATAACATAACATTACATTACATTACATACACACACACACACATATATATATACGCCATTATATACAAGGACTTTATCTCTCTTTTTATTTTTCAAGAATCATGTGGGATCATCATTCCATGATATTCCATGTTTATCCATTTTTGGGGATGGACAAATGAAAGGTTCTTCAAAACACCAAGCAGTTGCTGACGGATGCCAAGGGTGAGTCGCCCTCTTCCTTGCTTGGCATCAGGTGCCGTAGAATCAGCATGGCAATGGCCACTGGGCTCACAATGTTTCCTGGTCTCCATCAACAGCAAAAGAATCCACAAAACATGTCCAAAGACTAATCTTCCCCCAGTAAGGATTAACAAAAAAAAAACATGTGAACTGCTTGAAATGTGAAGCTGCCAACCGTCTGCAACGAATCTACATGAATCTACTGTAGTCCCTTGTGTGGACAACCGCTTGGCCATCACCTATGGCCTAGTAACGAATCCTCGCTACTGTTGGTCCATCACAATGTTTTTCGCCATCTGTATCCATCTGTTACGTTAACCCTTATCATTCTTGGATGAATTCCCGCGAACTAAAACAACAACAGCAAACCAACAATATCAACACGATGTCTGCTGTTTGCCCCCATTCTGTCTACCTAAAGAACCACCAAAAACAAAAGTACCAAGGCCCCCCCGGAACTCGATCAGTCAAGCTGCCTGTGGGTGGGCTCAGCAACCGAAACATGGCCTGTGTGGTCTGCGTCCGTACCACCTCTTTGGAATCGCCCATGCGAGCGCAAAGCTGACGTAGCAAGGGGGCCAAATGGGCCACCAGCAGACGACCGTCCACGGTTCCACAGAAGGAAGGAACGATGGCCTGCCATTGGATATGGGATGCCACGGTATGGATGGGAAGCTGAGCAAAAAATCCGAAGTCATTTTTTTGGTGGTTTCAGTTGTAAAGTTTGAAAACCGTTGGATGCTTTATTTTCAATACACGTGTATTTAAAAAGGAACAGGTCTTTCAGCTTCCTCTCCACAATTTCTTGGGCAAGTTGCTGTCACAGCCATACACGCTTCCGCATAGACTCGCACATTTTGGTCCCCCAGCCCCTCATGGACGGCGCGCATGCAGCCATCCAATAGTTCCGCGAGTGGGGCATCACTCACGTCCTGTTCAGGAAGGTTCCCACCTCCCCAGGTGGGTCCAGCAAGATTCTGTGAATTTCTGTGACCAATTGTAGTTTTGAAATGGAACATGAAACAAACAAATGAACAAAGAAACAGAGAAACAAAGAAACACGCCACACAAAGGTCCATGGTGCTATGATTCACTTTGCTTCTTAGATTGTTTCATCAACCCATTGAAACCATTGGGCTTCGAAGCGGTTCAACGATGTTCAACGACCCGTGGACCACGGCAGGTCCTCTAACCTCTGTGCCATGATAGCGGAGAGGTGCGTCAATGCAGCAACTCTGCACTGCCAGTTTCGGCTATAAAAACATCTCGTCCAGCCCTCACCAAAAAGCGCAATCAACGGGGCGACAAAGTCCTTAGGAGCCAACCCCAAGCTGCAGATGTCAATTTCAAAGGCGACCCAAAATAGAAATCTACCCACTGGTTTGAAGATGGCACCTGTTGTTGCAATGCCACCCTGGCTTACTATATAGATCTTATTAGTAATAACATCCATCAATATCCATCAATCCATATCAATCCCACACACACACATATTTCCGCGGACTGCCAAAACCATCGTAAGAAAAACATGTCCGGTAACGATAATATAAGACATTATAAGACGCAAAAAACCATGCTGTACTGAGTTTCCTGCACCATTTCACAACATTTCCCATTATAAAATCATAAAAATCATAAAAATCATCACATATTTCACCACAGGTTTTACCAAGACGCCAAGGCCACTTCATCCAAAGCCTCTGCTAAAGGCAAGGCCTCCTTCAATGCTGCTTCACCTTCCGCCAGCTCGGGCACTTCATCTGCTCCACCGCAGGCGTTCCTGCTGAACATGGAATCCTACCCGGAACAACCATAAGGGATCCGACAATTGAAAGGCAATCCCCCAAATGATTCGATATAGGATTTCAACAAAAGATAACAAAAGCATTGCTGGCCACGCAATTCGGCTTCTGATGCTTGATCATAAATCATAATCCAACCAGGGCACTTGACATCAAAGAACTTGACTCCATCCTCCCCAGCTTCAATCTCCGCGTCCGAATGAAGGGAGTTGTCACTTTCCTCTTCCAACGTCATGGTGCCACTTCGGCTGAGGCTGGTTCCGGGTCGGCCAGTGCCTGGTCTAAAGCTGCCAGATCGATTGAAGCCACCAGTGGATAACCGCCCAGTACCCCCCAGAGCGCCAGTGCTGGGCCTGGAACCACCAGTTCCAAGACGTCCCGTCAGAGGTCTCACTCCTGTGCCTGGCCTCATCTTTTGTTTGGCCCTTTCTTCTGCCATGGCTTTGATCTGAGTTGCTGCTTGATCCGCGATTTCACTGGCACGACCGCCTACTGCTGCCATGTTTTCCAGGAGGTTTGAAGCTTCTTTGCGGACCTCTGCGCTCTTGTTCTCAGATGCTTTCAAGGCATAATCTGCTAAGGTGCTCCAAGTCTCATCTGACCAAACTTTGGCTGAGTCACGATCATGCATCCGTTTCACCATCTGACCCAACAGCTGTAGTCGCGGTCCAGTGCTTCGATCTGTGCCACTGCGGTCAGAAGAGGTCCATGCACTGCTGCTGGAGACACACTGTGCCACCATTTCGCTCAAGGCGGAGCTATGCAGGCTGCAAACCTCCAAGGTGGTTTCAGCGGTTTTCTGCCGAACCTTTTGGCTGGTGTCCAGCAAGCGGCCGAAGAGGGCTGGGAGCAAAGGCTCCAAGAAGAGAGGTGCGATGTATAAAGGGACCTGGCTGCAAATCAGACACAACAAATCAGCTGCATTGACAAAAACTGCCGTCACGGTGTCGACCAGCAAGGTAGAGAGTTGTGACTGCAGCATGGAGATGCGCAAGTCTCCAAGGACATACTGGGACAACAAGGGTCCGCCATCTTCGTCGGAGTCTTTCAACAACTTCACTCCCTCACTGGCCGTGGCCAAATCAGTGAAGAGTTTACCTCGTTGCCGGTTTCAGTCTCTGCCCGAAAAGCATGAGATTGCTGGACCCCCATCTCATTCCAGGCACAAATGAATGGAAAAGCATCGAACAGCCCCAAAAATGCTTGAACCCACCATCCAGTTGTATCATGTTATCACAATGTTATACTGTTATAAGTTATACCCATGTTATATCCAGTTGCTGATGCATTCAGCTCGCCGCTTCCAATTCTTGCTGGCAAGGCCGTCCAAAGCTGCCGCATCGTCCAGGGATTGCAGCGATTGCAGCGAAGCCATGGATCCCACTGCGGCGGAAGCTTTAGGAGACTCAGCTGCTTCCACCCCGCGGCCTGCTTGAAGTGATGCCCACACTGTGCCGTTCAGTTCAGAGACACACCACAAATCAGCAGCTCGACCATCCTCAAGGCGCTGATTTCGAATCGAATCAGAGATGGTGGGTTGTGCTTCCCATCATATACAACTACAATATACTACTATCCACATTGATCACTATGTTTGGTTTTATTCCTGGTTTGTTACTTCATTCCCCAAAATTTTATGAATAAGTTCGGCCATTGGGGGCATACCCTCATCCTAACCATCATGCCAGTGACGTCGCGATGGTTGCAACACAGGTCATCCAGCCCCCGTTAGATTCCTATTGTACCGATTGCATCCCATTCTAAGTGGCCCATTCATCATTTTTGTTGGCTAAATCCCTCATTTGTCCTTATTAATCTCCCCATGTTTGATAGTAGAAACTTAAGCATCCCAATTTCTTTGTGGGTCAAATCACCATTGGACAACTCCATGGTTAACACTGGCCCGGTCCTCAGCCACGATGTCCTCCTTGCTCATGGCATCCTCATCGCAGGCCACAGCACTGAGTAAGGGAACGCCTTCCTGTCCTGCGGCCAAGCTCTGCAGACGTTTCTGCGCCTTCCCTGGCCTCGGGTTCTTGGGGACATGGAAAAATCCTTCAGTTTGATGGGATGAATGTGGTATCGTCACCCGTCCCATAGAATCCAAACATAATTAGCATTTAGATCCATAAAAGAAATGGGTATATAAATGTATATAATTATATAATCAATCTTTTGGCCATGGGACAAAAAGATACAAAAAGCCAAGTGCCAAAGGAAAGGACAAACCAACAATATATCCCAGAAAACCAGCTGGACCAAGCAGCGCCCGAAAGATACGCCCGCAACAGCATGCAACAGCTCCATTCACCGAACGCATATGTTCTAAGTATATATATATACACTATATATACATAGATTTAGAAGAATTAACATGACCACTTAGATTCAGCATATAGATTCCACAACATTCCACAACTGGTTGCTGAGCGGGCCATGGAAACATGAAACAACTCATGCCAGTAGAATGGGCAGTCAACGACTCAGCAAATCCAGGTGGCAGCAAGCTGAAAACACGCTCCTCGATTCCTGCCGGGAAATCGGCAAAACAATGTGGCCCAAAGTCCGGGATCCCCCAAATCGAACCATGGTTTCCTTCGTTTCGGGGGCTTCCGACTTTATGGGCTACACTGACTACACTGCATACATCCTGAAATCCTCACACTTGAACCTCGAAAATGGGGCAGCAAAGACATCCCAAGATGATCTTCCCAAAAACGACTATGGTTGGGGTACAAGTTGGGGTTTCATGGGGCTTCGGCCTCCACTGAGGCCCAGCAGTTGAAGTAGACAATCACCAGCCGCTGCCCTGACTTTGGAATGCTCACAGGCAGATGCCCTCAGCAGCAAAGGCAGCACCAAGGCTCGCCGGAAGAGGCCCGACTGTTGCAAGCCAAAGCTGGCGATGATTCGACCCACCAATTTCAAATTGGAGGCAAGACATTTGGCAGCCTGGTGGACATTCAAAATGCTCCATGCACCCACAATCCATGGATTGGTGCCCTCTTCATCCTATGGGGTCGCTGATATCCTGTGGGGATATTTAACACAGAGATTATATGAGATTACAATGCAATTATAGCATCATCATGCATCATCTAAATGGGGCTGGAAAGAAAAAAAACATGAAACCACCAGCGAGCAGCCACTGGAGTCTTGGATGAAAGCTCCTTTTCTCGCTTTGCCGTGGCCATGGCCAGTGCACACAGCCGCTGGTCCATACGCAGCATCAAGGGCAAAGCAACGTCGTCCAACGAGATCCGGCCATGCAACACGCAGGAGCACAGGGCACCTGCTGCCGCCTGCTGGGGAGACGTTGAATTGCTGGATCCGCCACCCACATCCTTGGAGTTGCTTCGCTTACTTGGTGCCACCAACAGACCCCCAAATGGTGGATGAACCAACTGAAGAAAGTAGAAGGAAAATGAAAGATCTCCAGCAAATCCAGGCATCAGTTTGATCTAAGAGTAGGCTGATCATGTTGCCCTCCTCTGTCTGCAGCAGTGCCAGGAAATCTTCTGGGCCAATCTCATCCACACGACTGTCGCTCAGCAGCTCATCTAGCAGTGAAAGGGATGCTAGAAACACCTTGCGCAACTTCCACAGTTCATTGAATGTGGGAACCCAACCCATGGAGTTTAGCACTGCAAAAATGATCAAACACGTACCAATCAACACTAAAAGCCTTACAATTTGTTCAGGACTGGTTCTGCTGGCTAGTAGACATAAAACCCGCCAATGTCAACCCCCGATTGTGGTTGCTCAATCAGGGTGGTTCATTCTCAAACAGTGATACATCCGTACATTACACACACGCACACACTGATACGGATACACACACACACATCATATATATATATATACATATAGTATACAGTATACATATACCCATATTTTGGCTAGATTTTGCTAGATATAAACGATTACATACATATATGGTCATAGGATGTCATAGGTATATCAACCATAGACAGTTTGAAACATGACGCACCTTGGGCATCTTGTCCCGCGTGGCCATGCACGTGGCTTGACTCACCGCTTGCACCAGGTCACCAGCGGAAGCGCCAAGTCCGGCAAAGCGTCTGCCTGGGAAATTTGCATGGGAAACATGGAAAAACCATGGGAAAATCGTGGGAACATAGGATTTTCCAGGATATTCCAAATGGAGGTTTCAATGGGAAATTTATCTATCAATGGGGGGATTTTCGTTGCCAGATTTTTTTTGGGATTTCAAATTTCAAACAGTTAGACAAAAATATGACAGTCAATTTGCTCCATCATACCACCCTGTTTCGGCACATTCAGATTAATAAAAGATCGTTAAGTCGTTATCCTATTCTATTATTTCTTGGGATGGTTGAAAAGGACAGCATAGGGATCATCCTCCTGTTTTCAGGGACGAAAAGTAAGAATCTGATATCGCCATACTGTTCACATCGAAACCGGCAAGCCGCAAAACTCATCCGTAATCTGCAACCTTTCATGAGTGGAAAACCAATGCAAGAAAACAAAGTTGATAGTGCGGCCCTCGGATATTTTGTCGTTTGCTGGGGGGCATTTGAAAATACACAGGTCATCGAGCCACAGCTTGTTGAAAGAGCCCTAGTGATACCAAGGGATCACCAGTGCGCACACAAACCCTTCACAGAGGAACCCCAAATACACACATCCGTGCCTATAACCGACCAATTAATAGCGGTGCCCGTTTCAAGCTAATCTGCACAGTTGAAGGGGTGCTGGGAAAGGTACTGGTGATGTCTAAACGAAGTGGAACTACCTGGAGAGCACTCATTTTGGAATCACCAGTGCGCGCGCAAACCTTGCACGAAGGAAAGCCAAACACATCCTTGCGACTTGCCTACAACCTTGAAACTGCTTGTGGTGCCCAAGCTAACAGAAAAATTCCAAGCTCAGGGGGTGCTAGGAAGGGCACTGGTGATACCAAAACGAAGTGGTACTGCCTGGGGAGCACTCATTTTGGGACCACCCTAGGAACGCCAAGTACACACATTCTTGACCGAGAAACCCCAATACATAATCTTACCGACCAAGTAATAACGGTGCCCATTTTGAAAGCAATATCAACCTCAAGTGTTTTGAAGCGCTCAACCTCACCCCTGTGCAGCCCAAGGGCTTTGGCAATACCCACATCAAATGAACACCTCCCATATCAACAATACTCATTGATACCCCTTGTTGAAGCAAACATCAATGTAACCCCGCGGTAAGCAAACGAAACCGTTGATCTTTGGCACCAAAAATAAACCGCAAACCTTTAATCCGTAATCCGGCTAATCATTAGGGATCAGTTTTGATGTGAGCAGCCATACTTTTGATCCGCATCCCATAATTTTTTGATGGAACATCCTCTATGCGAAACCGCCAATAAGTGCCAGCCAGCTGCTGATGTAAATGTGAGCCTGCCACCGATCTCGCCACTGTTGGCTCATCATGGCATCATGAACCATAGGTCCAAAGACACTATCCAGAAGTGAGTCGTTGGCGGGTCTCGAGACATTGGCCTCAAAGGGATCCAAAGGCTTCAAATTCGGCCCTGAAACAATACCGAGCACAACATCAACACATGGCCAAGGGGGTTTCATTCTTGATCCTGTTTTATTTGATGAAACCACTGGAAAATTGGTTGGCAGGGTCAGCGTGTGACCGGAAAAAGTGGGTCAATGTCGAATCCAAATAGGGCTGCAAAAGTCATACTTTATATTTTGGAATGGGTCTAAATCTATTTACATGAGTATTGATCAAACTTGTGGCACCAGCAACTTAACACTTTGTTAGTATTAATTAACATTTTGTAATATTTTTTTGGAGGACAGGTTTCGTATTTTTGACCCATACCCTTGAAATGGATGGACTCAATCAACCTGATTTCACTGATCTTTTTCTACAAAAAATATGAAACAACATAAAACCACATATTTTTCTCGAGATTTTGCCTCCCACTCATCTTTGAAATACTCCAAGGGCTCCTCTGGGGCATCCTCCGGCGCCTCCTCCGCCCCTGGACGACCCAAGGGTGGCAGTTGGCCCTTCAGATCTGCTGGGGCCGCAGAGCGATCCCTCAGCAGCTCCACTAAGCCGTGATGCCCTGCACGTTCCGCCAACATTTTGGCGGTGTTCCCCTCCACATCTTCACCTGGGGAATTTTTTCAGAAAACTGAGGAGGTTTGGGATGGCTTTTGATGACTGTTTGGGACAGTTTTTGGGGTGGAAATGAATCACCAGTGTTTTTTTTTTCGATGGAACTGTGCGGGTTTACTGTCAATTTTCCCTTGATCCGAAACTTGGAATTGAGCCGCGCCCTCAATCAAAACAACAAGAGTCAGTTGGGCATCCCATTTGAAACATCAAAAATGCCTGTCTGAAAGCAGCACCAGTGGCAAATGGCAGCACCATGGGCCAACAACTTTTCAGCGCCCTCCTCATTGTTCACCAGGGCGCATAGATGCAAAGCACTCCATCCCAAGGTGCCTGGAGCCGAGTTGATGTCCGCATGGTGGTCCAGGAGGCACAGTAGCAGCTCGTTTTGAGCCAACATAGCACTCACCTGTACGCAGGTGCGGGCCTCCTCCAGCAAAACCTCAGGGTGCATCATTTTGGCAGGTGAACAACACATGGGATTCCAATATAGGCTATCAGAATATAGAAAAATATATTATAATATATTACAATATATTACATATTTACATATAAACGATCTACAGGCACTTGAAACCCATCCCCAAAATGTGTCAGCTGGAGTTCACGATTCCAAGTAGGGGTTGCAATTTCCTCTTTGGAGCCACCACTCATAATCTCCACATCTGCAAATCATTTTCCCCAATGCAACATCAACATGATTATCATGATTATCATGATATTTACTCCGTGCAATTAGAGGTTTGTCATTGATGTGATAGATCTTACAGTGATCTTACTGGAATTCCTTTGAGGATTTTGAGGATTTTGAGGATTTTGAGGACACCCCAGCCTTCGCCGCACCATCCTCCATCTCCTCCTCAGCCTGCGGCCGCAGAGATGAACCACGGCCCGCCAGATTTGGGTCGGCGTCGGCGGCCAACAGCATCTTGGCCATGGGCAAAGAACCCATTAAGCACGCCTGGTAGAGTGGAGTTCGGGAGTCCTCATCCAGAATGTTCACCCTGCCACGTGGCTGCGCGTTTGAAAGTACAACTCGCAAAAAAAAAACACATTGGACCATGGCAAATATACAATCTTTCAGAGATGAGGGTTATGCTTTGACTTCCAAAACCCCCAAGCAACTGAAGATGAGATGGGTTTGTCAGGAAAATGTGGTACCTAATTTTTACATATTTTTAACGACTGGTGTTTATCATCCGTTTCTCATTCACCTTCCAAATCTATGGCCATACATGGCCTATGTTCCCCAAGCCCAGCCTGCCACCTCTCCGAATCACAGCCTCAATGGCAGCCTCTTCTCCACTAATCACTGCGTGGAACAGTGCGCTTCGACCAGCTGAATCTACGATGTCAACTGAAGCGCCATTTTCCATGAGCAAAAACGCTACCTGATTGGTTGATAGTTTAAACATGATTAAACATTGTTTAAACATATCTTGATAGATCTTGGCACATCCTAAGAACTGTGGGTCATTGGGGGTCATCCAAAAAAAAGGTTGAACATAACGAATATTGAATGAACACAGCCAGTGACATTCATATTTGATGCAAAGGCCTGCACCAGTGCCGTGCTGCCAGCTTTGTTCGAGAGATTCGGATTGGCTCGGGCCGCAAGAAGCATTGCGACGCCCTCCTCAGAACCTCTCTTTGACGCCAGCATCAGGGCAGTTGTGCCATGTTCTGTCTGCAAATCGAGATCTGCAGAATGTGTCATCAGCCATTTCATGAGCTGCATATTACCGCTCAGGGCTAAAGAATGCAATGCTCCAACTCCACGGTGGTCTTGGGCATTCACATCAGCTTTCATCTGCAGCAACGCATCCAAAAGGTTGTCAGAGGCCTTGGGTTTGCTGAAAATGCAACCCCAAGAAAAACAATTGCATATACAACCATATGCATGCATGCATGCATGCATGCATGCACACACACATATTATATATATACACCATCATATACCCACTATCGATTCCCCATCAAGGTGAAATAATTATATAACCCATTTGAACTAAACATCAATAGCAATAAACAATTAAAAACACGTCATCTTCTGCAAAAATCAGGGAGGCAGAGCCAAGTACCGCTGCCAAAAAAGGAGTGAGACCATCTGAAGCGCAGCGATTGGGATTGGCCGCTGCCTTGAGCAGCTCCAAAGCCACCGCTTCATCTGCCTTTCGGCAGGCCACGGACAGGGCGGTTTCATTGCGGGCGTTGGGGATATCTGGCTGCACCTGGCCCAGTTCCAACAAAATCCGCACGATCTCACCATGACCTCCATGAGCTGCATGATGCAACAAGGATTCACCATACTCATCTAACAAAGCTTCACATGGAAGTCGACCTTCCAAGTGTGCAGATTCATGGCTCTTGGCTTCAGCAGCTGCCTTTTCAACAAAGGCTTTCACCACTTCTATTTCCCCCATGCGACATGCAATTGCGATTTGGGCAATTTCTTCTTCAGCAAGTCCTTCAGGTTCGACCTTAGGAGCCTGTGAGACCTGTGACACCTCAATAGGCTGGCTGGGGATGCTATGGCTGCTATGGCTGCTGTGGCTATGGCCTTTCTTGGGACTGGCGATGGCTTCGGCCATGGCCTCCTCTACATCCTCGTTCTCCACCTTTGCATCTAGAAGGGGTTGATGCTTAGCCGCTGAACTGGCTGCGACCTTGCAGTTGGGTCCACATGTCTTTGGTTGTTTACATCGAACATGTCAGGAGCTAAATTTGCTGAACCCATCATGACCCCGGGGCCCCTTGAAATCAGCCAATCATAGGACATCATTGGGCATCTATGAAACATGTTGGAAAGTTGGGGCCCGTGCCTCATCCTTGCTTCTTTTTGGCAGCGGAGGCCGCCCATGGCTGGCCTTGGGCTCTTTGGGCTCACCCAATGGCCCTGCTTTCGCCTCTTTCGCCTCTTTGGCCGCCGCCCCCTCCGCCTTTTTGCTGGCCCCGCTGCCCATGGTTTTTGGGCGCCTTCCTTTGAGCCCAGGCTACAAAAATATACAAATTGCATGAAAAAGGCCAAGCGGCTCCAAGTGGATAAACAAATAAAACGAACTGCTGATTGCATCCCTGGTATCATCCTGCAGGACATGTGGAACATCTCTGTCAAACGTCGGGCTGACAATTGCCCCAGAACCTTGGCATTGGATGACACTTGCAGACCCGTCTTGTACATGTTTGACACATCGGTCAACTAGGGCAATCATCTGACAATATCTGGCACTCTCTCTATTGTTTAAGCTATAATTAATCTAGAAACAAAAGCCCGTGTTAACATTAGATTTCTAACATCCTGGGTCCTTCAATTGAGAGGATTCCATCTTGACAGCAAACTTTTGAGGGGCAGTCACCATCACCTTCTGAGCAGCCGATGGCGGACGTATGTGGAAGTTCCAAGCCTCCTCCACCCACCTTGGCCCCTCGCAACCTAGGCACAGCCAGTTGTCGATTCGGGATCAACAGCCACCTTTATCCCCCGATAGGAAAACTTGAGAAGAAGCCACATCTTATTCAGGTATTTCACATTATTTATATATTTATTTATACTTATTTATATTTATGTATATTTATTTATATTTATTTATCATGATTTCACCTACGAGTACATCTTTCTGGGGATCCCCAAAACTACTAATGACGACGACCCCTTTCGGGGGAGTGACTTTTACGGGTGGACATGTTCCAGAGCCTTCGGACCAAAGGACACGTGATTTTGATATATTTTTTTTTGAACTGTTAAAAAACATGTGTCCCTGCAACAATGGGTTATAAGCAAAAACATGGGATTACAACCAACAAAAAGTGTAGCACAGTGCAATTTTGTTGAGCTTCTATTGTCACCAACACAAGTCCATAAACTTAAAACATATTTTCCTTTAATAATTTGGGGTTTGAGCCAGTGGGCGACTGTATACCATAATTATAGCCTAATGATGCTAATGCCATTCTGGTTACTCTTTTGAAACCCCGTTTTGCTCTGTTTTCCCTCTGGGAGACAAGGGCTGGCCCGTTTTGAGGAAAGGGATCAAAATAAACCACTTAGAGCAGCAGCTTTAAAAAACTGATACATTTATGAATATATGATGAACAAATAATCGTTAGATTTTTTTCACATGTTCATAAAATAGTCATAAAATGATGTGCAAGAACCCTTACGGGGGGGTGCCCCAAGCTTTTTTCTTTATTTACAAAAAAAACGTTTGGGGCACCCATGGGCACCCCTGTTATGGGAGCACTATGGGTTTCCATTTTGGGAGCATTATGGGCTTCCATTTTGGGAACGCTACCCGCTTCCATTTTGGGACCGCTACGCGCTTCCATTTTGGGAGCACTACGCGCTACCATAATGGTCATGTGGATTTCAAATTATAGCCACGTCTATCCGTTTTCGAAGAGAATCAACAGCCTCCTATATGTGGCCTGTGAGCCTACAGGTCAGAGTTCCTTCGGATGTAATTGGCTCTCTGTATAAAATGGGTTTGCGTAAAAGTTAGTGTGGGTAAAACCATGGTAAGAGCTGGTTGGTGCAAGAGATGTTTGCTATAAAAGCTGGCCAGGGGGAAAGCTGGATGATGTGAAAGCTGCCATAGTTGGTGTAGAAAGGTGGTTGGTCAGAAGACTGATTTGTGTGAAAACTAGCTGGTGGAGTGGGTTGCTCGAAGCTGTTTGATGTGCAAATATGTGCAACCTCGTTGGTGTAAACATGCTGTAGTTGTTGAAGAACAAAATTGTCTGAACAAAAAGCAAGTTAGAGGAGCACACAGTTAGCGCGTAACAACAGCATGTAGAAAACATCAGAACATTCCATATTCTACGGGAGAGAAGAAGAGAGGGAGGAGACAAAGAGTCACGGCACTGACAACATACGAAATTTGGAGGGGATTTGTTTCGAGCCACACAAGCATCTGCAAATGGGGACACCTAGTCAAACGCCACACAGCCTTGAACATCCACAGGATTTGTCGGCAAATTGATGGCATGAATGTTAAAACGATAAAGGCAACCATCGAAACTAGGAATCCCAAAAAGATCACTGAAGAACCTATGGAATAGCTTAACCAAAAATACAAAAGGGCTTGAGATGGTTAGAACATGCTTGGCTGCCTCAACAGGCTACTCCACTATATTTGTAGCCATTGGTTTGGTCTGATTGCGAGGATAGGGACAACAATGAAAATGCGAAATCCAAGATCAGGGCGAGCCCCACTGGAAATGTAACACCCTCACAAAAGCGTATCAAAATCACAACAAGATGGCTAAAACACTCCCTCACAACCTAGTTGCGACGACATCTATTTGCAAGAATCACACGGCAGTACAAAAAATGAAACCGCCCAACCCAACCTCTACACAAATGGTTGGTGCATGATTGTTTGCCTGCTGAGACCCCTGGTGCCCCATTGTGGGCAACACATGAAACGTGGATAGCTTCGATAGATGATCGTCCCAGAATTCATGTATATACCATTACATACCTACAAAAAATTGAACCTGAATGCCGTTTTGTAGGCCTGCTTCGCCATTTGGGGGATCATCAAAGTTTTCTTGGTGAAAAATACCAGTATAGACATGTTTGGTTTTGACGAGCGCTTGACTTGTTTGGTCCTGGACCAATATCCTGGATTTTCAGGCCGTTTTGCAAATTTGTTTTTCAGTTTTGAAGATTGCTTTGAAGCTGCCATTTGCAAAAAGTATACAAAATAAAACATCTCTGGAACGGGGACAAGAAGGGAACACGCATCCATATGGATATCATGAGCACCCAAGCTTGAATATTGCTTTGGATTTGGGGATGAAGTTTATGAGGCTTGCCTGTGCCCAGGAGAGAAGTTAAAAATACCGAGTGTTTGTCACAGTCAATGCGTTAAAACGGATGCCGAAGTGCGATTTACGGTAGGTTTCGTAACTTCCAATTTGACCCGAATAACAAATAACAGGTTTTGATAAGCAAGTATATTAGTTACTAGTAGGCAGGTATAAGTAAGCAAATGTCCTCTGCCATTTGCTAATGAAGTACAGTACAGTTGGTTATCAAAGTCGCATTGAAATGTATTGAAATGCCTCCGGATTTGGGCTACCTTTTTCTCCTTGCCCCTTTCCCCCTCCCTAGGCATGTTGTGCCATCTTAAGCCAAACAGCCCTTCAGTAGTTGCAATGTTGCTGTGCGGGTGGGCACATCGTTGGGTGGATGCTGTCGCGGATTTTTTTCCCATAAATCAAAATTTGACCACAGTGATGGCCCTTTACCAGTTTATAAGTCAGTTGTAACACCATTTATGGAATTATAACCCCATTTATGACCATTATTAATCATTTAATATCATTTAACTGGTAAATGGACCATGCAGGAATTACTTAATGGCCAATGAGTCAAAAAAAATCGTCTAAGAATCCATGAGGTTTTTTGTCTGTGAATCCAAGAGGTTCGTCAATAGCGCGAAGAGTTCCTCAATGTCCCGAAGAGTTTGTCAATGTTCGTCAATTTTCCCAAAAGTTCGTCAATATTTTTTCAAGTTCGTCACTTCGTCAATATTTTCTTACTACGTTCGTCAATTTTCCTAAAAGTTCGTCAATTTTTTTTGCGTTCGTCAATTTTCCCAAAAGTTCGTCAATATTTCTTCAAGTTCGTCAATTTTTCCAAAAGTTCGTCAATAAGTTTTTACCTTCGTAAATTTCCCAAAAGTTCGTCAATATTTTTTCAAGTTCGTCTATTTTCCCAAAAGTTCGTCAATTTCCCCAAAAGTTCGTCAATATTCGTCAATATTTTTTCAAGTTCGTCTATTTTCCCAAAAGTTCGTCAATTTGCCAAAAGTTCGTCAATTTGCCAAAAGTTTGTCAATTTTCCCAAGAGTTCGTCAATATTCCCAAAAGTTCGTCAATTTTCCCAAAAGTTCGTCAATTTCCCCAAAAGTTCGTCAATATTCTCAAAAGTTCGTCAATTTCGCAAAAGTTCGTCAATTTCCCCAAAAGTTCGTCAATTTTCCCAAAAGTTCGTCAATTTTCCCAAAAGTTCGTCAATAATTTGTAAGTTCGTCAATGTTCGTCAATTTCACCAAAAAGTTCGTCAATAAATGCAAAAAACCCAGGGAAAAGTTCGTCAATATTGACGAACTTTTTGGGAAATTGACGAACATTGACGAACTTACAAATTATTGACGAACTTTTGGGAAAATTGACGAACTTTTGGGAAAATTGACGAACTTTTGGGGAAATTGACGAACTTTTGCGAAATTGACGAACTTTTGAGAAAATTGACGAACTTTTGGGGAAATTGACGAACTTTTGGGGAAATTGACGAACTTTTGCGAAATTGACGAACTTTTAAGAAAATTGACGAACTTTTGGGGAAATTGACGAACTTTTGGGAAAATTGACGAACTTTTGGGAAAATTGACGAACTTTTGAGAAAATTGACGAACTTGAAAACATATTGACGAACTTGTGGGAAAATTGACGAACTTTTGAGAAAATTGACGAACTTGAAAAAATATTGATGAACTTTGGGAAAATTAACGAACATAAAAACATATTGACGAACTTTTGCGAAAATTGACGAACTTGAAAAAATATTGACGTACTTTTGTGAACATTGACAAACATGAAAAAGTGGACATTTTTTGGAAAATTGATGAACTTTAAAAAATATTATTTAACAATTATTAACTAACTTTTCGGAAAATTGACGGACTTTGTTGGAAATTGACGAACATTGACGAACTTTTTGGGATGAAACTGTCGATTCATTGACGATCCTTGTGAGTTCAAAGACACGCCCGCGGAGTCGTTGAATTGGCAAAGGTTAACTTGTGAGATCTGTTCAGACTGGGTAGTTGATTGTTGTGACCATGTACCTGCATGATGATTGTTTTTAGCTTCTCCCATGTCTCCTCTGCGCTTTCTTGACGGTTTAAACACTACTGACAAATTACATGCGAAGTTTGGTCTACATGTACTGGATATAGGGTCTACCCACATTACGTGGGAGGATCTAGTTTAGTGGAATTCGCTTCAAAGTTTCAGCTCACTGCATCGAAACAGAGAGAGAGAAATAAATAAATTTAAGACATACGTAAACCATCAAAAACTTATAGACAAACCAACGAACTAATAGATCGGTGTTACGTTGCGATATCAATGCAGTATGGCAAATAATCCAAGACATGTGGTAATTGTTGGAAGCTTGTGGTTTCCATGAGAATTTGGGGACCAAAAATGCGCAAAATGCATTGTGCGTACCTTTACACCATGCAAACCCAATGAACAGTGACACTTGTGGGAACATGGCACCCAAAAATAAGGTGCACCAGAGGCATTTTGTGTACGTTTTGCCATGCCAATATGTGTGCAAACCCAATGAAAATCTTATTTAAATTTTCAGGAAATCACAAATAAGAACCATATTCATTTTTCGCAAGGTGGGGGAATGCAAAAACATTTCAGATCACCTGAAGAAAGTGGCAGCCCAGTAGCCAACTTTCTTCCGGGCATCTCCCAGGGGAGGCTCAAGGAATTGAAGGAGTAGACATGAATAATCCCAAATTGGTTTTTACAGCGTTTTTTTTTATTGTTGTTTCTTTCCAGACATCCACAAACTGAACTCAAACCTTATACAAGTTTTGGCTGAGCATCAATGTTTATCGGATGACATCTCCCAAGTAAACTCCAAGTGTATGCCTATAATTCCGGATTCGCTGAAGCAAGAGAACCGTACTTGGCGTTCCTTAGTGTTTTTGCTTAATGAGACATCAGTTTAACAATGGCCAAAATAATCCTCTTCTGTGCGCGTAGGGTTCCACGCAGGCATGAACGAGGTTCTTTATTTGTAGGAATGGTCACGTAAGCTATCACAGCAGTACTAGCGTTCGCGTAAATCGCTTCCCAGACATGGGTAATGCTCGCTTCGACAGGTCTGTTTCAAAACCCCTTCCAACTTGTATTTCTATTGATAAATAACATGACATTGGCAGTTTGCAAATGCGTTTTTAGAAATGCTGGCTGACTTTCCGCGACAATTTAGTTGTTTCCCTGAAAACTGTTGCTTACGTGAGCAAGAAAGTCAGATCATCATCACCCCCATAAAAAATTCACTAGATAAGCAGATTCAGGGTCACCGACTATCGAGATCATGCATTGATGAACTTCAAATCACCGAAAACTATTCAGAGCGTATATATAGGTTGCGAAATGCTCAGGAGTTGCAGAGCAAACCTGATCGTCCGTTTGCAAGTTTACTCCACAAGGGTAATTGTTTTCAAAACATCGAGGTCCATTGACAAACTTTTGGTGACGAACTTGCATGCCCTGTCAAAAATATGACAGCAACATGATACTTATGAATGTTCAAAGCAAGAAGTACGCGACGCAGGCTCCAGCATGAACAAGCATAGATTGTTTGCTTCTGCCTGGGAACTACAATTTGTTACCTGTCCTCACCAATAATTTTCTTATGAATCAGTTGTTACTCGAGAAACGGAGGTGTTGGGGCAAAAAGTGAATAGAACGTAGGCATTCAAAAAAAGACGCTGTTGGCAAAGGATTGGCGTTTTTTTTCGGGATCAATATGATGTATAGTAGAATGTGCAGCAACAGATGTAAGGGCAACCAAATGCACACTACCAACATGACCACACATGTGCCTATCTACAAAGTGCGTGCCTGTGTACATGATTCTGACCATATGATAAGTGCCTGTAGAACCAGTTCACTCCCTTTGTATATAATTATTGTGTTTGGTACTCTCACACAGAAAAAACACATACACAACTACACAGACACCCAGGTTATACCTATCACCCACCGAGTTAATGCAAAATTGCGACTTCTCATATGCCACCAAGCCTATTGTCCAGGTTGATCCAATCGGATTTTACGTTGTGTTTTTTTTAATGTTTTTTTATGTTTTTTTTGCAGGGCATCTTGCCTCCCAAAAAGGAGAACTGATCCGATTTGTACTGTATTTGAACTGAAACATTTTTTGGTACCATTTAGAAGAAGACGCTTTCTTCAAAGGCCATGTAAAATACTATTGGATAAACTATGGTCAATCTAGGCCCTTGCAATCTCATATTATCACTTTGGAAGGGAACTGTACTGCTACTGCTGCTACTGCTACTGCTGCTACTGCTACTGCTACTATTGCTAACACTGCCAATACTCTTCGTCAGCAATCAAGGCACCAAAAAAATCCAACTTGTTAGGCTTATCTAGTTCTATATTTTTCACAAAAAAAAACAGATCAACCACTTTTGAAAGCATACTCAAACGATAATTATGCATGTTTTCTCTATCCAGCTTTAACGACTACAACTATATACATATTTTTATGCAACAGCATTTTTCAACTGATTTGCTCACTTGCTCTCCTGGTTGCTGTTCAAGTATGTTTGCCTGCTTGTCTCTGTTACGGTCCTTTCCCAATACATGACTAAATTGCGAGTCCCAATTTTCAGTTGACACAAACACAAACGCGAAATTGAAAACTGACAAAATCTAATACATATATACGTATATATATATATATATGTGTTTTATTTGTAGCATACATATGTATATATGTATGTATATATATATATGTTTCAAAAGCGATGTAGGAATCGCTAGCCAATGTCACGACTGGTAAGCCCTATCCAGTTCGTCTGAAATCACTTGCAATCAATGGCATTCTTTTTGTTTTCCTAGATGTTCAAGAATGAATCCTAGAAACACCAAAATCAACACCAACTTAGATTTGTACCATCAACCCCTTCCCCCGAAAGGGGTCGTTGTCATTAGTACCCAAAACCCATTGGCTTTCCAACCAAAATCGACCAATTCGGAGGAACCATGAGCCGGTACCCGAGGCCCTTACGATGCTGGTGGAACTTCCAAGCTTGCCTTGGCATGTTGAGCAGGGCATAGCGGACAACTACTGGAAGGCCCCAACATCTACCAGGAGGTTCATTGAATTTCAAAGTTCCTCATCTTCCATTAGGATCCATTAGGGAAAGCCATCAACGGCAAGGCACGGCGCGTCTCTGAAGCTCCAATGGCTTCCCTGATAGCTGGGGACCAGGTTTCGTGGGTGGATTTCTTCACCCACATTTATGGCAATGGCCAATTGGATTCTAGTTTGATTGGGAACACATGATGTTTTTACTTTTTTCAAAACCATCTTGGATTTTGATGGATTTTGGGAAGTTTTGTGCTCGCCTACAACCCATGGCAAAGTGCATGGACACGTTGACACACCAACAACCCACGGAGTTTTACTCGCCCCTTCTCGGCCTGTTTGGCCCGCATCATCCGCCTGTGCGGGCCCGGAATTTTCAGCACATAACATGGAAACTGTCCGCCATCACTTCGACTAAGGTCGGTAGTTTGAATCCATACCGAAAAGGCAGCGCTTTAAGATCATCTTCAAAATAGGGAGAGAACAAATCTGGTTCATTGTATCAGCTAAATAGATGCCCCCACCATCATTTGCCAAACCCTAATTTTGATGCAAACATTCTGATGTTGCAAAAATGTGACTTAGAAAAAACTGGAATATTGGTTCGCTTGAATCCTGATTTTCATTGGTGAAGTTCGATAGGGTATTTCTCTTGCTGATTGATCCAGAACACCAAAATGTTCTGAAATTTACATGGATGAACCTACCTGTTGATCCAAATTCATCAACATGTTGTTAACCCACATCCTATTATATACTTCCTGCGCCTTGGGCGTACGCCGCTCCGACTTTTGGGGGGCTTCTTCGCATAAACTACCTCAGGGGTCAAGAAGTCGTAAGGGGAACGGCGCACCTTGGGGTAATACTGGGCCCACAAGCGGTTGGTTCTCCGTGACTCACTGTGCCGTGTCCTAAAATACCACCGCTTAAGCGGCTGAACCAGTGGATGGTTGATACATGGGTTGTTTCATCTGGCGTTAACCTGACAAACTCTTCACTGCCGGCAAAATGATGGACATACTTCAGCACATCGCAACTCGACATATTTCTGACCAAAATCAACAAAGGACATCAAAGAACAAACCGTATAAGTACAACTGTCAGAAACAAGCACGGCACAATTTGGAAATCATGAACTTGTCATCACAACTTGGATTGCCTACCAGCCTTCTTGGAGGTGTTTGCATCATGAGCTATGCTTTAAGCTGTGCACGAGGCGATATGGTCAATTGACTTTGCGGTGTGCTTGACCCCTGCGCAATGCAAACATCGGATGCAGGGCACTTTGGGGATACTTGGAGCTGTCTATTTCTGGGGGGGATGCATCTCCATTTCTGGCCTTTTAAGGCTTTTTCAATTGAGAACATGATGATAAATACGATAAACCATGGCTCAGCCTGAGGTCCAGCAAGTCCAGGCTCTCGAGCTCCTTGCGTTTTTTTTTGGGTTTTTTCGCCGACGCAAAATTTAAAATGAACGGATCCAAGTGGTTAAACCAGGCCATGATTGATATTGGGGAGAAGGATGGGGAAGGAATTAGTAATGATTAGTCAGGGTTTAATAAGATTTAATCACTTTTGCATACTTTTGCTACTTTGCAAATACAACGGCAAACTCAGCTCTGCAGATTAGCTCCATGGTAGTCAAGTGGGGTTTAATCATCCCAGGCATATGGGAACGGATAATATCCGTGTGACAACCAATTTGGGGACCACCGTCGTACTTGTGATGGGAGAAAACACAATATGAAAAAGACACGCGGCAGTATGAAACCAAGATCACTCTGGCCCAAAGTTGCTTGCTTTAAACCTCTATAGATCAGTTAGCATCCTGCAGTACGATGCAGTACCGGTAGGTACTCAGCTTGCCGTTCAACATCCTCCATCAACGATTCCCTCATTCCGAACAGAAACTTCGCCTCGCGGACACTGACAAACTTCCGTGGGTCGGCTGCTGGTATCGCTGCAGACTTCTGGATCGCCTGGGCCATCCCAAACTCGGATGGTGACCATCCATAAACCCAAGTGCAACTATATATGTACAAACACATACATGCTATGACTATAGTTCAAACTGCAACGTATGTTAAAGAAAACTCAACCACCACCATTGAGATTCTCCCTTTTTTAAAACAACATAACAATCCCTGGTGCTGCTGAGATCTCAGGTTCTAACGATCGCGGGCCGGCACCTGCCGTAGGGTTTCGCAATGGCACCAAAGTCTAACCAAAAGAGGAGACACAATTGATTAAGTCAGTTTAAAGCTGCCCAATTAATTTAATGAGTGCAACATTTATGAAGATGTTAATCAACTGAATTTGCTGATGCGGCCCCAAAACGGTTGTCTGTTCTGGTTGGGACCCAATCATATTAATATTTGACCGAAGGTGTTCCAGCATACAAGGCAGCTTCGTCCGTTTTGAGATGCTGAAGGTGATGATTAAAGCATTCTAACATATGGCTATCGGAGGATATAAGTGAATCAGCTATCTCTAAATATGTATAAATTATATATATATATAATTAATTTGGATTAATGTGGTATAGTACATCTACAGTATGAATCTACACTATTTTATACGAATAAATGACTATTCAATTCACCAGATGATCCTGAGCATCTTGGCTTTTAAAGGGCCTCGGGCAACGGTGGCTGTACCACACAGCGCATCACAGGCTTTTCCTCAGAGGGTTGGGGAACTCTGTCAAATCTCATCTGAAAATAGGGTATCCAACATCTGATGGTTCATCAGCTCATCATCATTTTACCATATTTTTTCTGCCGTGGATACCTTTTTGGACCAAACAGAAAGCCAAGCCCCCTGCAAATCGCCTCGCACAGTCAAAAAATCTCAAGAGGTTTGCAGTTCAGCGAAGACACACCCACACACACTTAGATATGTATATATATATATATACAATATCCAATGGTGTGTATTTATGATTACTTATGCACGTGTATCGTGTATCGTGTATGTGGGATATCATACAGATACATCAACAAATGTTGGACGTCCAATGTGTTTACAGTTAAAAGATTGAAAGCTCTCATGAATCTTGCCAACCTCATTGCAACAAATCAAAGCACTTGCAGGGCAGGTTCGCCAGACTTTTCCTCCTTGCTGTTCGGGACAAAGCCAATCAGCGGTCGCGTTTGATCCCTAGCCGGCCCGCCAAGGGTTTGCTGAGACTAGCAGCGCGGCAAGATTGAAAAAGAAATGCCCACTTTAAGATTCGTTTGCTTCATTGCTGGTGAAAAAAAGACCACGTATGTTTTGATGATGTTTGTGTTGGCCTACGAATTTCAGGCTCTCACACTGGTAGTCGGCGTTGATCATTGATCAAGTTGCATAGAGACGAAAGTGGCCACATGTTGAGCACCGTTGCTGCACCTGGCACCGTCATCTTCAAGGAAGCTAGCACATTCGGCAAAAAGGCTGCAAAAAGCTTCCAAATGCCGTACATCTCGGTGAGAAAGCCGAAGAACGGCCAGCCCACAATGATGATCGCAATGCCCAAGAAGTACCCTGTAGTGCCCTTCCACTTTTCCTTTCGGAAGAAGAATTTGAAGGCCTTCAGGGTTTTCAAAATATCGGCAATAAATAGCAGCTCATCTTTTTAAATTCAATTCACTGAGTTCAAGTTCTTCCAATGCCTACATGATAATTCTTTCACCATTTTGAAGCCCGCCTTGAAGGGACCAAGAAGTAGGGCTAGTCCAAAGAGAAAGGCTACATTGCCAAGGGCCAGCAGCGTGCGGTCGAAGAGCAAAAAAATACCCAAGGTGACGCACAACACGCCGATGCCACAAAGACCGATTCCGATCTTCTTGTTATCGTCCAGCATTGATCCTGGAGCCGAATGCCGATTGCTGGTGGTTGCAGCTTCCCCTTCCGTCCCAAAAATAACAAGTAGCCAATTAAATATGAGAGATTATGAAAGTGTAGTCATGTTTTGTCCCACTATTTTAGGTATTTGAAACTAGCACACCCCAGGGGTATCTTGGGTTGGCAGTTGGCCGTTGGCAGTTGGCCAGCTGCCTTAAGACTGTCTTAATGCTTCGGACCAAAGGGATTTAACGCTAACCAGCTACGGTGGGGAGTGGTTACCCACAAATTGTCAGGATTCGAAGAAGCAGCACCAATGATGACCGGGCATGACCGGGCCCCAAAATGCTTGGCCCAAAATCTGGTCCAACAGAAAAACGGTGACAAAACAAAAACAATACAAAAACATTGTGTGCTTTTGGGGGGGCCAAGTACTTGGTCCACATGTTTTTTTCAGTTACCATCTGGTTATTTAACATAGCCATGGAAAATCACCATTTTTTATAGGTTAACCATCTATAAATGGGCCATTTTCCATGGCTATGTTAAATAACCAAATGGTACATATGGATGTAATTCGTTTGAGACCCTGCTCCTCTGTGCCCTCAAAGCTGAGCGAATTGGTGCTACGGCGGGGACTTTCGGAGACCCCGCTGCTGCTCAGAAGCTCCACACTGGCTGCTTTGAACAACTGAGCCAAATCTTTCTGGTCTGCACAGCTTGACTGTTTGGAACAAGTTGATGGACAAAAGGAACAATGATTTCACATGGAAAAATAATTAATGTGCATCAATACAGTTTGCACTGCACAAAGAACCGTAAAAGTATCAAGCATCTCGTTGGTAGTCTGTGAGGAGATTCTCTGGTATTCTTGACAGTGATGTCTTCGCGTCGGATAGTGCAGTGAATGCCAAAACACCATCTCAGCAAATTCAGCAAAACATCAAGAGCCCAACGCAGCGCATAGCTCGCTCCGAACCGCGCGCAGCAACACTGGCGGCCTGTGGGGTGATGGCCCACTCCCTTCTATTGGTTGGCTTCATAAGGCTGGGGATGGGTCAAAACCCACAGATGCCTTGGTTTCTACGCCAAACTGGCTGGGACATGTGTGATCATAAATCCATTCCGATGCTATTCCAGGTGACTTGACCATCCAATATCCATTTATATCTGGCATGTGGCTGACCCCTTATTCTGTAGGCAAGACATAAACACAACTCTTGTACTCGTATCCGTTTTGTAGGCAACAATAACATGAAGAGATGGATACGAATACATCACATACAAATAATGCCATCCCCTCATATTCAACAGTCCTTTAATTGGTCTCAACTATGTCAAGATCCTCGACTAAACCATGGTTTATCGGGGGTGTTTAATACTTCTAATAACAGGAAAGAGATTAGATACAAGAAACACATTATAGAACATATTCTGGGAATCTAAGCATAGTAGATTATAGTTTATATAGATGACATATTAACACCTTCGATTTTAAACAAATATTGACCCATCTCTCTCAGTACCTTGGTGTCCGGACAGCGAGAACTGCTCGAAGGCTTCCGGCTCACTAAGGCGCAGCAAGGACTCCGTTGAGTACCTACCAGTCGGACCCATTTTTTTCACCAGAAATCCAGTGAGGATTTTCATGGGATATATATATATATATGTTATATATATATATGGATTTATCGTGTTTTATATAGACGATTTTCTATGGGGAAAACTGGGGATTCAATGGGGATTTGAGGATTTCGCCTCTCAGTTTATGGAAACTCCATCGCCAAATCTGATGGAATATTAATGGGTTGATACAACAAATGACCTCCACAATCAAACAAACATGGCACACATTGGCATGGAATGCAGATCAATAGGTTGATTAATGAAAACCATCCTTATTGCAAAAGTGCAGGAAGCCATGATTAATTTCAATTGATTTGAAGGAAACGTGCTGGAAACCATGGCGCTTACCCGCCAAAACAACGGGTTGCTGGTATTTGCTGGTAGAATTCCCTCAATCCACTTCTGGAACGAACATGATGAACATGATGACAACCATATTCTGGACGTCTGACAAAAAGGGTGCCCTAGCCCCATTCCGCATCAAGTGGGGCGTCAATCGGGGTGTCTCCCTTTTCCTCTGGACAAACCAACACGCAGCAATTGTCATGATCATGATGATGATGATGATGATGATGCTGCGGATGACGATGACGATGACGATGACTACGACGACGATGATTATTGTTATCATCATTGCCATTGGTAGTCGTATTACAATGTATTGGGTAGTATGATAATGTATTATCAGTATTATATAGTATTATGGTAGTATTACTCTTATTATGGCGATAATGATGACGATCATTTTACTACCATACATCACGTCTTGACATCTTCACGGCAGCCGAAAAAGTCTTGGACCTCTGCAGTGCGACCGAGAAATGCTCCGCTTCTTTGGATGAAAATCCCAGTTGGGTTGCAACCTGAGCTACTAATGTCTCATGCAGTGAAGGGAATATAGGCTGGAGAAATCTGGCAAAAGCAACCAATATGACCGCAATAAACAACAGAACAAGGACATATGCTTGAGAGGATGAGAGGAAATGAGAGGAACATGAACATGAAGATAGAATCTTGAGAGTGCAAGTGGTTGGGCGACAAATATAATTAATTATGCACCAACATCAACGTAGCCTCCACAGGCAACAAGGACCACACACAAACCTTACATCTGCTACAGTCGGCATCCCGTTTTACATCGTTTTACTATGTTTTACTGTCCTTTCAACCTCTTGAAAAGGAGACAGCATGGTACATGACATAATACTCGAGCATGATCGGGGCAGCTGTGGATGCCTTCAAAACAAAGATGACGGATGAATTTAGAACCCACGAATCCAATCAAATATATAGATGGAAGTTTGCCAAGGAAGTTTGGTACACTTTCGATCTGGCAAGGGTCCATCATTGGATCTCTCTCGAATTACTAAGGCCCTCACACGACGGACCAAAGCCACAGAATCCTGAACAGTGGCCGGGCCCCTCATGCTTTGGCAGGTGTCAGATGGTGACATGCATCATCCAACGAAGCGGGATTGTGGGATGCACAGATACAAAAGCAAACGAACCCATGAAATCCCATGAATTGATTTGAATTGATCATCAAAAAAACCATTTAAAAAACCCATCCAACAATAGCCATCCAACAATAGCCATCAATCACATCAACACAAGATACAAACTACATACCATTACATACCCATTTTGATCCCCGTCCTCGGCGCCACGGTGCTCGGACGACATCCATAGCTTGTGGCTAGAGGCTGAACATCGATCTGAAAGCCCAGGCAGCGATTTATGCTGAGCTGCCTACAAGCCTAGGCAGTGAAGTGGAATGCAAGTCTGTTAAGAAAGGAGTGGTCATGAGTGGTCCCATGGGCTCACATGATTCACACGGGTTCACTCCAAATACTCAATACTCTTTTCTCATTTCTTGGGTGAAATGCCGCCCATCAAAATGGCTCCTGTCTGCTGGGCGAGGTGATGAGAACTATTTCTTGGAGCCTTGCATAGCCACTGTGAAGCCCTACAGCAGCGGGTGATGCTCACGTGGGAATGGCTGGAATGGCTACCATCTGACTGCCCGCTCCAGGTATCCTTTTCCGAGTGCGGCATGGCCTTGTCCCAGCTACAAATTTGCAACGGTCTGGGGCCAAGAGGGGATGATATTCACACAAATTGATAAAAATGAATGAGATGGACATGGATTCAGATATGAAATGATTCGAATGATGACATGATGACTTAGTACGATCACTTTCAGGTGCATCCTCAGGTTGAGTGGGGTATAATATGGGCTGAGCCTACCAGGTAGAATTATGAATAATTTGGATCTTGACACATCTTGACACATCTTGACAAGGCATGATGCGACCGTGCTCCGTGCAGGGAATTCTGCATTTTGCATTCCAAAAAGACTTACTGGCGGCACCACTTTCAATGAGATCTGGCAGAGGAACCACCTGCTATCACCTGCTTGTTTTGGTATGGGAAACCTCAGGGAAGGGCCCTGAAAATCACATGGCATCTCTCCAAAAGTGTGCCGACATTTGCCATCCTGACATAAGACGTGCAAAACCAACAGCATCAACATCATCAACATCATCAACTGCAGCTCCATGGTGCTACCAGCAACTTGCACCTTAAGTTCCACTGGTATCGGGTCGGGAGTGCAAATGGTGTTTTCGACCTACCGGAAATTGGGTGAAACTCCAGGCAAAGTCCTTGGCATCTAGGCACTACATGGCACTACTCAGTGGTTTTATGCTCCAAATCATGCCATCCTGGTCATGTTGACTGGAGATGGTTGGATGGAAATAACTTGCTGGGTCAGGTATCGGATTATCAGCTTCAAACCTCAAAACCATGACCAAACTGCTCAAAGCTATTAGAAAATGATGATCTCGAAGCTGCACCAAAGAGATCCAGACTTTCATGAATTTCATGCCCTCGCCAGCTTGGTTGATGCTCGAGTGGGGATGGTCGTGTTGGGATCTTTACCAAGATCCAAGCCGCGTAGCACACTGAAAATTTTACGATATCCACACACCAAGCACTATAGACACTGCAGCATAGCACATGTGGCCAACCTTGCTGGCACAGACATTGGCTGACCAAATGCCGCAAATCCTTGACCTGTCGCTGCAAATTGATATGAGATATATATACATACATATAGAATACTCTCAGCTACTTGGCAGGGGCCCTGGATATTGTATTTCAGACCCTAAAACCCGGGTCTTTTTAGGAGTTACCTGAGGGTTTCCCGAGATTTTCTTGTCTGATCATAGACCTTTTGCCTGTTTTGGAGGCAAGGGTCTACTCTAATTTTACCGAATTAACATGAAAATAACAGTAAGGTCTGGAGTGGGGTCTGGAATGCCTCATGTTACGAGTCATGTTACGTATCATGTAGGGTCTACTCTACATCAAGATTCAAAAAATGAAGTAAAA